AGGAGCTTCCACTTGGGCACATACACAGCAGGCCCTGGCCTGTCCGAGATGGAGACCAATAAAGCCATCTGCATCTCGGACCCTGCAACTCCAGTCATCAGCTTTGTAGCCATGGAAAAAGTGGGGAAAAAAAAGCCAGGCTGTCAGTGAGCTTCAGAGGGACTGTGGGGGCATGCACAGTGTATCAGAGAAGTCACTGTTCCGTCCAGAGTTGGTTGGAGCTGTGTATGTCCTATACTTTCTGTTGTATATATGCACCAATATCCTTATTCAGAACCCTCAACCATCACCTCTCAACCATCTTGCTTTCACCCCTTCTCTCCCATTCCCCCCAAACTTCGGTGACTTCCAGTGACCACCAAAACCCAAAAAAGCAAACTGCCAAATCTCTTAGCCTGACATTTAAAGCTAAAGATTCACCAGATATACCTTGAATTTCCTGACTCCAAGCATTTCGTTTTTCGCTTTCTCAACAGCTGAGTATCGGTTCAAATCTCCCTCTCTTTCTCTCTCTCTTTTTAAGGCTGAGTTCAGATCCTACCTTTTCCAGGAAGCCCTCGCAGAGATCCCTGGGCAAAGGACCTCTCTCTCATCTGAATGCTAGAGCAGTACTTTCTACCTCTTCTGTATCAGTGCTACATTTTATCTTGCACTTTAACTATTGAGGGGGATACTGCTGGTTTTCTCCATTAAATTTGTGGAGAAGCCTTAGAAATTTGTCTTATTCATTTTTGTATCCCCAGCACCTATAATGATACTCTTTACATAGCAGGCATGTAATTTGAAATATATTTATTAAACTAAATGTTGGTGATATGGAGATAGATGAATGAGAAAGTTTCTGCCCATTAGGAGCTTACAATCTAATCAGAGAAAGAGATGCACAGCAACAAGAACTAATTCAATATAAAGCCAAAGGAACAGCACTTGACCTACGGAGATATGGGGTTTGGGTGGGCAGGGATGGTGGCAAGGGGGATCATACGGGTTGAAGGAACTGCCTTGGTGGAAGTGAGTGGCATATTTGGGGAATGTGGTAAGTACCCTTGGGAATGGTATGCAGGAAAATAGGAGATAAGGCCAGAGAAGGGATATGGGCTTTGGATCATAAAAAGTCTACTGAGCCTTTTCAAGGAATTTGGATTTTATTTTGGAGGCCATTGACTGAGGGGCTACTGAATGCTCTTGAAGAGGAAGATAATATATACTTACTGGATGAAGGAATGACGTGTGTTTTGGGTAGACACCATTCTCTGGCCAGGGTCACTTTAGGAAACTCTTAGGTTGGATGCGGAACAGCACCCATTCTCCACTGAACAGCCAGCCTGTCCCCTGATCAAATCACCTCTTTGTGAGATTTTCCCTTTTAAAGAAACTGCCCCCGCCCCCCCCCAAAAAAACCACTTCGTCAGGGTGAAAAATCTGTTCTGCCTTCTGAAACAGTTTCCTGCCCCACCCTCAGCTTTGACTTTATAGTACAGAAGTTCTTGTGTTTGGATTGCATTAGTCAGGATTCTGTATTAGTCAGGGTTCTCCAGAGAACGAATATTTATATATAAAATGAGATGTATTATAAAGAATTGGCTCATGCGATTATGGAGGCTGAGAAGTTCCACGATCTGCTGTCTGCAAGCTGGAGATCCAGGAAAGCAGGTGGTATGCATTCCAGTCCCAGCCAAAGGCCTGAGAAGCAGGAGTGTCAGCAGTGTAAGTCCCATGAGGATCAGAGACCCATGTCTCGGCTCAAGCAGATGGGCAGAGATACCCACTGACACCCACTGCCTCTCATTGGAAACTGAACTTTCTGAACCTGGGACTGGCTTGGGTGCCCTATTTCTTGGCCTTTGTGGAATTGGCGGGGGGTGAGGGGTAGGAGGTGGACAACATCCTATAGAGGAAAAACTCACAGTTTGGAGTCCTCAACCTGGATTAAAGTACCAGCTGAAATCAATTATTAGCTGTAGAACTTTGGCAAAACCAGTTATCTCTTTATGCCTCAGTTTTTTTAAAAATGGGGATAATTATGCCTACTCCAAAGAATTAAAGTGAAGATGAGGATGGGGACTGTCTAGCTTGCTATCTGACACACAGGAGGTGCTGAGTAAACAGTACTTCTTTCATATTTGTAGAGTTAAATAGAAGCTCCAGTTCTACATAAACAGAGGGAAGCTGTGCTTGGAATGAGCTGTTGTTAGGTGCCTTAATTTAGAGGACTGCAAACTCTCTGCCTAGATTATCTTCAGAGATGGTCACAAAGCCCAGTTGTTGAAGGTTCCTACCTGTCTCCCCAGCCTAACCTCTGCTCTCTGGGCTCTGCCCTGCTCTTACTGACCGCTTGGTTGCGGCTGATAGAAAGGCAGGGGCCATTGTTGCAAAGTCTGAGGAACCACAGACACTGTTGCAATTCGCGCCCTGCCCTGATGAACCCTGGAGAACCTGTGGCTGGCCCTCAGTCCCTCCAGCGGTGTGTTTGGGGAGACAGCCTAGATTTCCGAGCGTCCTGGAGTGATGGGAAAACTGTTTTTTGTTGTTTAGTTGTTAAGTCATCTCTGATTCTTGCAACCCCATGGATTGTAGCTGGCCAGGCTCCTCTGTCCATGGGATTTCCCAGGCAAGAATACTGGAGTGGGTTGCCATTCCCTTCTCTGGGGAATCTTCCTGACCCAGGGATCAAACTTGGTCTCCTGCACTGGTAGGTGGGTTCTTTACCACTAAGCCCCCTAGGAAGCCCGGGAAAACTGTTAGGATGTGCTAGAAAGCTTCCCTGTTTTCTTCTGGAGCTGAGGTTAGAGTTTTCCCTTCAAAACCAAGGAACTCACCAGTAGGGATATTTTTCACAGCTGGCGGCTATTAATCGGTGCCCCAGGTGCATGGAGGAAGTGGATTCACCTATACCCTTAAAACCTTCATGGGCAGGTAGGGCAGCTGAGTCACACACACGCACTTCTACTGCAAGGCGGTTGGCAGGATGTACAGACTGGTGAGGTGCAAGCAGACAGGAGGGGGATACCAAATCTGTGGGTGTGTGAGGTTGGGGGGAGGGGAGAGGGGGAGAAGATGGGTACAGTTGAAAGAGACAGCAGAGGAAGCCCGGCCAGGAACCAACGTGAACAAAGGCCTGGAGGTAAAAATAACATATGTTAAAAACATAAAACCTAGGCTGTTCTGGGGTGTGGCTGGGACCCAGGTACTTGACCGGTAGGGCAGCAGGGAATGCAATCAAGAGACTGAAGTTTTACTTTGAGCTGTGTGAGACTTGCAACTTTTAGCCGTAGGGGGACGGGCAGGGTCATGTTTTGGAAATCACTCGACTTGGGTTAAGTAGACTGACACTGTGCTAAGAATTTTCTTTTTTTCAACAAATATTCTGTCGTGTGTCGGTTACGTGCTAGAAATTGGGCAGTGGGCAACAACGGCAAAAATTCAGTTGAGCCTTCCTTGAAAGTAACTTCCACATTTTATGAAAGAGGAAATGGAGGGTCGGCTTGACCCCGGCTTAAGGCTCTGTGTTTTGTGCCAGAAGTAACATGCCTCTGCGCACTCTTTCTGAAGTCTCGGCGCACGTGGGTCGGACCGCCTGCGGGTCCTCCGCCTGCGCGCGCCGCCGGGGCATCTTCACCGCCCCGCCCGGCTGGGAGCCCGCCCCCAGCCCAGCGCACACGTGGGTTCTTGCACGTCCGCCCGGCTCCCCCTTGACGTCAGCCTCGCGGTTCCATTTAAGGCCCCTCCCGCGCCCCACTGAGTACCGGAGCCGCTGCCGCCAAGTCCGGATCCCACGCCGCGCGCCTCCGACTCCCGCCCGTTCGACGGTCACTCCCGGTACGGTCCGGCCGGGCGCGCTCTGCGCCCAAAGGCAAGGGCGATCGCTTTAGGCTTCACTGGCCCAGGCGTTGCCCATGGGGGTGGGGGGGTCCCCGCTCTTGGCAGGTGTAGGCGCTGCTTTCAAAGGGCATAGTCCTGAGACCTGGGCGGTGGCCCCACACTACCAAATGGTCTCGGGGGCGGGCCGAACCCTGCTGCTGCTCTAAGTGGGCACAGTGGCCTCTGGCCGGACTGGGGAACCAAGGAGGTGGTCGCGCACCCAACCTGGGGTCGATGGTCCGGGTAGATGCAGACGGAATGGGAGACGACTGGTTGGGGAGGGGGGTGGAGTACACCTCCGAGCTTGAAATGAGCAAGCCGCACGGAGCTCGAAGTCAGGTTGCCGGAGTCCACGGAACCGAAAAAGCCTCAGCAGTCTGGGGCGGGTTCCCGGAAGCCGGAAAGCCACTGGGTGCGCTCGGATCGCATTTTAATCCTGGCACTCTCGGGAGGTGGGCTCCTTGGGGCAGCCGCTGCCTGCAGAGGAGAGGGAGCTCTTGGCGCAAGTTACTTTTGTTAAGCAGCTGCCGCTGTATCAGTCGCTGAACTAGACGTGATGCATGCAAATACGAAGGAGAAAGGGTACCAGCTTTTCCGCCTCTCAGTAGAATCTGAGGAGGATCATCTGGTACCTTCATCTCCTTTTAACAAACGGGGAACCTAAGGCCGATTAGGGCATCTCTAAGGTCACAGTGAGTGCCTGGCAACGTTGGGGGAAGGTAGACAGACCCTCTTTCTCCAGGGCTCCACTCCCACCCGTATCCCCACACTGAAGGGAGCGCTGGAGCCCAGAGCTTCGGTTNAAAAAGTCTTGATTCCTAGCTCGTTCAGACCCACAGAGCAGTAGACTTCCTCCTCATCAGGTCCGCTTACGCGCGGAGCTCCGCTAGCCAGCGCTGGGCTGTCGGGGCTAGCGCTCACCTCTCAGTAGCCTGCGGTGCCTAGGCGCATGACTTCTGCCTCCCCCCCAAGGGCTGTGAAGTGCGCTTGCGCACAAGATGAGGCGCGGGGCCTGGGCTGGGGAGGGGCGGCCGCTAATCTTCCGGGTCTGGGCGGGGCCCCTGCACACTGGCCACTGGATGGCCACTGCTTCTTCGGGGGCGGGGGTTGGGGACAGGGAGGCGAAAACTAGAGCTGCGCATGAGCAGAGCTCCCACGAGTTCTGGCTAGTGCTGTGAGGACGTTAGAGCCGCTTTACGCACGTACCTGTGGTCCTTGCGGGGCTTGGAGTAGAGTACTCGTGGTCCTAAAGGGCTCGGCAGGAGGCCTGGTGCCTGCAGAAGTGTTGGGCCGGCGGCTCATACTGATCTTGTTTGTAGAAAGGCTAGCTCCGCTTGGAGTTAATAAGTCAAGATGAGTGAGCCTTCAGGAGGCTATACTTATACCCAAACTTCAGTATTATTTTTCCACGCCAAGGTGAGGAACTTTACACCAAGACCCTAGTCAGACCAGAGCCCGGCATTAGGCCTTTCGTTTCTTTGTCTGTCGGTAGGTTTCTTCCCTTCTCCCCCCTTTTAGTCATTTCTTGTGATTTTTAGGGGCAGGTATCCCAAAAGAAAGCGAAAGAAAGTTTTTCAGAACAGTTTTCGGAAGGATGCAAGTGACAGTGAATGTTTTTTCCCTTATAGATTCCTTTAGGTTCTAAGTCCAAGATGGCAACTCTCAAGGATCAACTGATTCAGAATCTTCTTAAGGAAGAACATGTGCCCCAGAATAAGATTACAGTTGTTGGGGTTGGTGCTGTTGGCATGGCCTGTGCCATCAGTATCTTAATGAAGGTAAGTGAGAGCCTTTCACTTTGCAAGTCTCTTAAGGATACCTTGACTCCATCCATCTACTGTTTGCTCTCCAAGAATTGCATTATCACATCGTATATACAAATATATATGCTCATGCACTCATTGAAAGAACTTTATGTGAAACAAACGTTTAAAACCTGATGCTATTCCAAAAGGGTATCTAAACTACAAAAATTAAAGGTTTCTAGGTTGGAGACCCAGTTCCTTAAATTCACTGTGCTTTATTAACCTCGTTAGTTGCCTACAAATGGAAAAGTAGAGTCTATGCCTTTAAGCAAGCTAAAATTATTTACAAGTAATTTTTGAATTGAAATCGACACATATACATGGTAAAATTAAACTGAATGTGGGAAGTCTTTTGCCCATGGTAATCCCCTCTGCCCCGCTCCTTGGATAGCAGTTTTGGTATCAATTATGGAACTAACATTTAATTAGAAAAAATTTGTGAATGAATAAAAAACACTTTATAGCATTCAAGCCTGGTTTATATTAAAAAGAAATTGAAAGAGCTTAAAGTTCAGATTTGGAGTTACTAGTAAGAGAGTGAAGTGATGAATTCTGGATTCCGAACAAAAAGGACTGAAATGAGAAGGGACTAAAGGCAGAAATGAGCTCTGCAAAGGTCTTGTAACCACGCAGGTTGCTCTGTGTGTTCTTAAAAGAGACCACTTGTTATTCAAAGTCTTTATTCCTTCCCCACTGGATCAGACATTGATACCATTTATTTTTCCCAAACCAGAGAACCACCTGTGGTCGTTTTCTGTGATGCCCCCTAACTGAGGTGTGGCTAAAAGTAACTGGCAGACCACTTATTACACTGTAGCTGATTAGGGATAGATCTGCACCTCAGCTTTTATAATCTCTTTGGTTATGATGGTCCACATTCCATTTGTATTAAAGCTGTTATTGGTGCTCCTTGTCTGAGATGCACCTATGAACTTCTATAGGTTCACCTGAAAGGATATTTTTCACCAACGTTTTGTAATGCACAAATCTGTCGATAAGTAAAACTTTATGTTGGTTAACATATGGAAAACATGTAACCAGGGAATGATCTAGAATACCACTTTTTAGGCCTTAATACTAGTCTGTATCATCTATTTAATGACTAACAACCTAAAATCAACGTGTAAAACTGAATTTGAGAGACTAAATAGAGCAGTTTTACATAACTGGGTGGTACTCACTGCAAATTCAGTGTTCTGCTTCTGTGCAGTGGTGGTGGAGCTCCTGCCAAGGGTTGCTCCGATGAGAGAGGGGGTCAGTTCTTTTTCCTATGTATATGTCATCTATGAGTCAGCTTTTAATGGGAGCCTACCTCTACTTTGAGGTACGTACTAATAATAAAGTAGCAGAATTCTCCTATACCAGAAATATGGAAATTTTGCATGGTTGTCTAAAAATTTGGAAATGATTATTTTCCATTGAACTAAAATTTTATGTCTTTCAGGACTTGGCAGATGAAATTGCTCTTGTTGATGTCATGGAAGATAAACTCAAGGGAGAGATGATGGATCTCCAACATGGCAGCCTTTTCCTTAGAACACCAAAAATTGTCTCTGGCAAAGGTTAATTTTGGCAAATTTATATTACATTCTGTGTTAGGTTTAATTCTTTATCAGGCTTGAAAATCCTATCAGTTCTTCAAAGATTTCCTCTTTATACAGGATAAGAGCCTTTTAAACAATTTTGCATTGATATTTATAGATATCAATGTTTGAATTTCCAAAAGTGTTTTTAAATGAAAATCCAGTTTGTCCATGATGTGGAAAACATCTGAATTATAACTAGCAAAATTTCTTAGGTCCATAGTTTACGACATTGCTTCAAATATTTAAATGCACTTACTTCCATTACTTCCTTTGATAGACTAACACAAGGTTGAGACTAGGGTAAATGAGCCTGTTGAGCAGATATTCTTGGCTTGACCCTGTCACACTTTACAAGCATCAGCCAGGAAACAGACATGGGCCTAAGTAACAGTTTTGACACTTGGAAACCATTGACCATTGATCTGATAGATTACTCTTTTCATTGTCTTCAACCCAGGAGTAACCATCCTGTGCCATAGGATATATAGAAGCAAGACATGCTTGATAAGTGTGAAGTTGCCTCTGCTTAAAAAAAAAAAACAACCATCCCTGAGCTGATATGACCACAATTAAGTAGAAATAGGAGTGTGGAAAAGTGTGAACATTAAGCTCAAGTGGCAAAAAATTGGGGGGGGTGTCTCATTTGATATGAGTGTGAAATAAATTTTATTCCTTTCAGCTCCCCCCAGTCATAGTTATATAAAGCCACAATATAACTACATAATACAAGGAAGGTATTGATGTAGTCTTCCTCCATGTAAGTGGCCACAGTGATAAAACCCCAAAAGTAAAGGAGTCTGAGCATATATGTGTATGCCACATACACAAAGCACTGATAGAACTGTCTGTTTAAAAGGTTAATGGAACAGATTTTTGCTGGAGTTTTCTTAAAAGCCTTAATCTAGTTATTGTTTCTCTCTTGTCTAGACTATAATGTGACAGCACACTCCAAGCTGGTTATTATCACAGCTGGGGCACGTCAGCAAGAGGGAGAGAGCCGTCTTAATTTGGTCCAGCGTAATGTGAACATCTTTAAATTCATCATTCCTAATATTGTAAAATACAGCCCAAATTGCAAGTTGCTTGTTGTTTCCAATCCAGGTGAGACTTTTAATGGCATAAAAATAGATGAGCTAGAGTAAAACTGATAGTATGTATCATAATCTATATATATGTCTCATATTTCTCATTTTCCTCCTGAGAGTAAATTTGTGTTTTTGTAAAATAGTTAAATTTAAAACATCAAGGGGAAACAATGGCTTTAACATAGTTGGCACTTTAAAATTTGTAACTTGGCTAAGATCTTGGATAAGGAATAATTATGAATAATGTGTTATTGATGCACAACTTATTTTCATTAAACTACACTTCTTGAAAACTTAATGTATTTGTTATACACAATATAGAGGCTTAAAAATATTAACAGAAATATTGATTGGTCATGATAAATAGCAAGATCTATACAGAGCCATGAATCTTGAAGTCAGTCATTAGCTCATGATTCACATAGTGAAAATGTTAGTCTCTCAGTCATGACCAACTCGTTGCGGCTCCATGGACTGGGGCCTGCCAGATTCCTCTGTCCATGGAATTCTGCAGGCAAAAATACTGGAGCGGGTAGCCGTTCCGTTTTCCAGGGGATCTTCCCGACCCAGGGATCGAACCCAGGTCTTCTGCATTGCCGGCAGATTCTTTACCTTTTGAGTCACCAGGGAAGCCCAATTCACATAATACCTCTACCTAAATATTTTCTCCACAGTCGATATTTTGACCTATGTGGCTTGGAAGATAAGCGGCTTTCCCAAAAATCGTGTTATTGGAAGTGGTTGCAATCTGGATTCAGCTCGGTTCCGTTATCTCATGGGGGAGAGGCTGGGAGTTCACCCATTAAGCTGCCATGGGTGGATCCTTGGGGAGCATGGCGACTCTAGTGGTAAGTATGACTTCTTTATTGTTTGCAAAGATTGTGTAAAAAAATTGACAGGAATATAGTTACTGAATCAGAGCCTAAATCAGATATCCATTTATTAGGGTAGATGGTTTCCAGAAATCTTATCTCTTGGTATAATTATATGCTAGAATTGTTAAGATTTTAGTCATTTTTGTGTGACATATTTTGGTATAAGGGATGAAGAATGGAATTTATTATAATGAACATATTAAATAAGATGATAGTTCTTAATATCACAGCTGTTTATGGGCAAGCTGCTTGTCCCTGAAAAGGACAGCTAATCCAAATGGAGTATATGAGAAAAATCTATTATCACCGTTGAAAGATGTTATAATTTGTGCAGAGTTCTCCGTTCCTTATGGCAAGAAAATTCCTCTTATGATCTCATAATATCCCATCTCTATATTTCACATTAGAATAAAGCAGATTAGCATACAATGAAAATTCTTAGCTTTACATAATTTAATCAGTGAAAATCTAAGAGTATTGGTAGTCTTGACCACCTACCAAAAGGGGATAATCTTCCTCAGATAAGAAAACACAATTTCTGGAGAATGGGTCAGAATTACTGGTGAGCTAGGTAGTGCTTGGGAGTAAATATATTCTGTACCTGTATTTTTAGTGCCTGTATGGAGTGGAATGAATGTTGCTGGTGTCTCCCTGAAGAATTTACACCCTGAATTAGGCACTGATGCAGATAAGGAACAGTGGAAAGCGGTTCACAAACAGGTGGTTGACAGGTAATAGCTCTCATAGTTTGTAACACAGAAGGTTAAAATTTATTATTTTTATTTAAGAAATTAAAAGTTTTGGCAATTCCCTGGTTGTCCAGTGGTTCAGACTTGATCTTTCACTGCCGAGCTTGTGAGTTCATTCCTGGTTGAGGAACTGAGATCTGGCAAGCCTTGCACGTGGCCAGAAAGAAAAAAGATTAAAAGTTTAATAACCTTTGCATTTGGTAACTGTCAGAAAACTTGTTTTTTCTAAAGCTTGTTAAAACTCGTACTATAAAACAGGTAAAGGTATTAGATATTGCAGGCATGTATTAATGTTACAGTCTACTTTTATTTGCCATAATTCTCAATTTATAGTATAATAACTCTTCCTGTGTTTGTAAACTCAGATATAAAACAAGTCTACTTGATTTGAGATTCAGTCTTTACTTCAAAAGCATGTATCATTGATTTAATTAGGAATAAGAATTTTTTAATCTAAGTTCTTACAATAATCTATGAATAGAAACACAACTAGCTGCTTGTTAACACAGATGATTATAAAGTTTTAAGCAAGATACAAATTCATCATGGTACACAAAATAATTAACTGTTAGAAATTGTTCAAATAGGGAAACTTGCAACTTACTGGCATTATTTACTTTAAATAAGGTAGCCATGTGTAGACCTCAGGTCTTTGGAATTGAAGAATGAATCATGATTAGTCTAAGCAAGGCCCTCTGATTTCTATTTGTTAAAACCTGTGAACCCATCATCCAACCCAAGAAATGTTGACGGTTGCTGTAGTGTTTGTTGAGTTGGAATTATTAGTCTGCTGGTGCTTGGAAATGAGTGGATTCTGTGCTCTTCCCACTTACCCCTAACCCCCCACCCCCACATACACACTCGAGATAATCCCAAATCAAGCATGCAATATGTAATCTCTGATCAGCTTTTTTAAATCTAGTATTGCATTTATAAGAATCATCTGTTTTGTTGCCTGAGCCATAGTTGTTTGTTTTGACAACTGTGTATAATTTATCCATCCTCCTGTTGAAGGACACTGGTGTTGTTGCCAGGTTCTTGAACATCCCCATACATAATATCCTGGCATACATGTGCACAGGTTACACTTAGGTATATAATGCAACTCTAGTATTTATATAGTATTACTTATTATATCAGTGATTTCTCATAAAGCATATGTTCAGTGAAAGCTTTTTCTTCGTTCCTCCTACCCTACCTTTTCCTGTCCTTCGCTATCCTACAGTGCTTATGAGGTGATCAAACTGAAAGGCTACACATCCTGGGCCATTGGACTGTCAGTGGCCGACTTGGCCGAAAGTATAATGAAGAATCTTAGGCGGGTGCATCCGATTTCCACCATGATTAAGGTAGGTCCATGTAGTAAAATGTACTTGAATGCTATTATTTCCTGTTTTTTTTTTTTTTTTAAACTCATTTCAGAAAGCAATTAGATTAAGTCCTCAATCATTGATTTGAGTGAAATAAAATTAGTGCACCTGCAGCTTTCTTTTTTGAAAAGACATGGTTGAACTTTAGGATTAATGTGGTTAGTACTGTGGTTATTAGCACATAGATACTTAATAATAACCTGTTGACTGAAAAACTTGATTCAATTTTGTTGAGATGAGTGGAAGACTATAAAAGACACAAATTTTTCTCCTTTGGAGAAAAATAGAAATCACACTCAAAGTCACCGAAGTGTCAGACAATAAAAATTGGAAAGTATGAGGGATGATAGCAATAATGTAGATTTTCTTTTAGAATGGAAGTCTTGCTGCTATTTTAATGACTTTCTTTTACCCTTTTCATTACATCCTAACTGAAAATCTAGGAAGAAATTCTACTTGCCAAGTTGTATTAAGTAAGCTTCATGATTGTAGAGAATAGAAAGTCTTGGGAGATGCCAGAATGCATAGAAAAAACATAAAATATTTTTCATTTCATCCTCAGGGTCTCTATGGAATAAAAGAGGATGTCTTCCTTAGTGTTCCTTGCGTCTTGGGACAGAATGGAATCTCAGACGTTGTGAAAGTGACTCTGACTCATGAGGAAGAGGCCTGTTTGAAGAAGAGTGCAGATACACTTTGGGGGATCCAGAAAGAACTGAAGTTTTAAAGTCTTCTAATGTATCACTTCACTGTCTAGGTAGGTTGTAACTCATACTGTCCTTTATATCTGGTCTGTGATTAAAACAGTAATGTTAAGACAGCCTAGGGAAAAATCAATTTCCTAATGTTAGAAATAGGAATGGTCCATAAAACCTTGCAGCTGTATCCTGATGCTGGATGGCACTTACCTTGTGTGTCCTAAACTGGTTTGTCAAATAATTCAGCTTCCTCAAGAGGTACCACTGCCCATGTTGCTGATGCTGCAGTTGCCCTTCAAGCCAGATGTGTATTTACTGTGTTATATAACCTCTGGTTCCTTTAGCCAAGGTGCCTAGTCCAACTTTTTCCCTCCAGTGAATCACATCCTGGGATCCAATGTATAAATCCAGTATTGCATGCCACGTGCATAACTGTTCTAAAGAATCTTACGTACTGTATGAATCAGAATAGTGTACACTGCCTTGTAATGTAAAAGGGAAAAATTACATAAATAATGCCGCCAACTAAGTGTTACACCAACTAAATAAATAAAGCTTGAACAGTGACTACTCTGGTAATTAAGATACAAAGTCATAAAGCTGTTATTTGTTCATTACATAAATGGGAGCCATTGGGTTTTTGGGCTGCACTGAAATGAATTTTTTAAGGGGTGCTCTTTACTAATGACCAGACTTTATTAAGAATTAAGGGTGTGATTAGATTGGCTAGACTGTTTTGTTACCATTTCCATTGTAATCATTTTAATATACTAAGCCCTCAAATATTATGATAATTTGATTATAGTGCTAATCATAACTGGTACTCTACAATTCACATAGGTAACACCCTATACACAGATGTAAAAAACATTATTTGCCGACTGAACATAAGTAGTGGTTCTGTGCCACTACAGAGGGGAGATTTTTAAGAACCTTCACTCTGGAGGCCAGTAACAATTGTTTTTCAGTCGCTAAGCTGTGTCCAGTTCTGTGACACCATGGTCTGGTCTGCAGCATACCAGACTTCCTTGTCCTTCAGTAAGTCTTGGGAGTTTGCTCAAACTCGTCCACTGAGTCAGTGATGCCATCCAACCATCTCGTGGTACTTAATTTTAAACCAAATAGTCCTGGTGGTTATCTATTCAAAAATTTTCTTTAGATCTTCCTCAAAATATTTCTATAACTATGACCTTCTTCAGGCCTAAAAACCATACTTCCAGAGGTTAACTAGAACAACTTTACGGTCATCACTTCCAGGATTTTTCCCCAAACTTTCCTACTTGAGAGACAGTTAAGACAACTATGTTTTTTAATGGGTCTCAAAAGTAGAAGGATAAGACTAGCCTACATAGGCCTTACAATTAGCTGTTATAATAGGATTTGCTTTCCTACAGACTTCAGTAGCCTTAAGATATGTTACATAGCACAAAATTCACCCTTTTAAAGTGTATAGTTCTATGAATTCACATAGTTATGCAACTATTACCACTGCTGCTACTGCTAAGTCACTTCAGTCATGTCCGACTCTGTGATCCCATAGACGGCAGCCCACCAGGCTCTCCCATCCCTGGGATTCTCCAGGCAAAAACACTGGAGTGGGTTGCCATTTCCTTCTCCAACTATTACCACTAAGAACTGTTAATTATTCCCCCCAAAGAAATAGGAAGTTATTCCTATACCCTTTTGTAGACTCTGATGCAGTCTTTTAAAAAACATATTTACCCTTATTTAGTGTTGACACAATAAATTAGCTAGTATCAACATGACAAAACGCTTAACATTAAATATTTCGTGAATTTTCAGATTTACTCTCAAAGCTTCCTTAGTTTCGGGCACACTGTATGTTCCATGTTCACCACGTATCTTTCTGCCCTAGGTAAGGGTAGGCCAACTCTGCAAGGCGCCCTGATTGTTTTTAATGGAATATGATCTCATTTTTATAACCTTGGGAAGTGGACAAAGCAGGCCTTAGCCCCATCTTAAAACAAGTTGCCATTTAGTGGAAGAAGCAAAGGGGATGTTCAGAATATGTGCCTTGGGCAGGTATGAAGAGCCTCTTTCTTCACCTACAGCAGGAGTTTGATCACTATGAAAATGACACTTTCGGCATGCAGGTGTAAAGCTTGGATCTGGAGGTCATCCACGTCAGCACTATCTCATACTCAGTCTCTAGTAAATGAGGTGTACAAGGGCCATAAGATGTGGAAGGAAGTAAACAAGCCAAGTGGTAGTACAGATTCAATAGCCACTGCCACACCTGAGAAGCCCTTGCCTGGGGCTAGTAATAAGTTGTGAAAAGTGCCATAAGAGAAACAGGTGAGATGTTGGGAGGGGATGGTAGTTGATACATTTGTCAAAAAAAGTTAGAGGAAGTGCCATTTTTGTTCAAAACTGAAAATGAGGAATCAACTTTTGACAAGGGCTGGGGAAGAACTTTGCAGACATACACAACAGAAAAAGTTCTGAAATGGGAAAAAGCTGTCCAAAAGCTGGTGTCTTGAGAAGAAGTTGGAGGGATGAAAGGAGGCCACATATTGACCCTTTCTTCAGTTCAGTTCAGTCGCTCAGTCATGTCCGACTCTTTGTGAACCCATGAATCGCAGCACGCCAGGCCTCCCTGTCCATCACCAACTCCCGGAGTTTACTCAAACTCATGTCCATTGAGTCGGTGATGCCATCCAGCCATCTCATCCTCTGCCGTCCCCTTCTCCTCCTGCCCCCAATCCCTCCCAGCATCAGGGTCTTTTTCAATTAGTCAACTCTTCGCATGAGGTGGCCAAAGTATTGGAGTTTCAGCTTCAGCATCAGTCCTTCCAATGACCATTTCTTAGATCACAGTAAAAATTAGTTAAGTGCATTGGAAAGCCATTGAAGGATTTTAAGCAGACTTATTGCATGATCTAAACTACATTAAAACAACAACAACAAACTACTGGCTTTTATACAGAAAATGGATTACTCTTTATATTTTGAAAAGGATTCAGATGCAAGTGATGACAAAAGCTGACAGGTGAGGTTGTGTCCCAACCTGTGAGTTATAAATTCCCTGCGTAAATTAAAATCACCTTAACCATGCCCTTTCCTTTTCATTACCACCTTGTTCTCTCAGTTCAGCATTTCGAAGCATCATCCTCAGGATGCTGGTTTTAGCTGGCCCACTGGTGAACAGCAGGTGCTCGCCTGAGAGTTCTTTCCCATGAAGGCTTCGAGCTTGCCCCCTTGCCCACCAGGTGGGTCTGGTCTCCAAAGTTTCGGCTTTTAAATCAGTCTGAGGCCTAGACCAGCCGAAGGAAATGAAACGACATACCAATATCCCTCTCTAGCACACTCTTCGAGACCAACTAAAATTCCTCACACGGAGATTACGACAACACAACAGCAGGTACCCACGACTCCACTCACACCAGAAGACAAGCCCCTCCTAACGCGCCTGCGCCCGAGGCGGCCGTGGGGCGGAGCTTGCGTGCCTGCGTAGGAGCGTGCTTGCCTAACGGTTCAGACTGTAACGGTCCAGACTGTAACAGCCGCTGCGCTTCCCGCCTCTACTGACGTCGCTGTGTGTCTTTTGGTGGTGTAGCTTAAAAAGCGACTTAAAGGTCGTGCGTTGTGCGTTCTGGTTGTCTGTACTGACTTGGGCCACACGATAAGCGTTTGTGAATGACTGGGACTGGAGTGAAAGTGGTGACTTGGGGCAGGGAAAAGTTTTAAAAACCTCTTGGTTTCCCAATCCCTAACACTGATAGATACACTCGTCGGTTTTCGACCTCTCCACACCTCGCGAGCAGGTATTTTTTTCCCTTTGGCTTCTGACATTCTGCAAATTCATGAAGTACTTCCATAGTTATGGGAGTGATTAGTTCAGGGAGATTGCTTCCTCTGAAATTACATTATCTCTATCAGGTTCTCAAAATGTCATCTGTCAAGGAGCAGCTTATTGAGAATCTAACTGAGGAAGATAAAGTCTCCCAGAGTAAGATCACCATTGTTGGAACTGGTGCTGTAGGCATGGCCTGTGCGATTTGTATCTTGCTGACGGTAAGTGATAAGCTTGTACTGTGACTGAAAATAAGTGAGCACTGATAGGTCTTGTAGATGTTGAGCGCAGGGTTGCAGGGTTAACCCCTTGACAGCAAAGAAGTATCACCTGATTTTTTACTTAAGAAACATTTATGTAGAGTTTACCATGTGTGAAGCATTGTCAGGCTGTTTAAATTTATTCATAGGAGACACATTGATTATATTATTTTGTTAAGATTAAAATGTAACCGTAGCAAAATAATTTTGTGAAGTTTATGGGCTTCCCCGATGGCTTAGCTGTTAAAGAATCCACTTGTAATGCAGGAGACACAGGAGACCAGGGTTCAATCCATGGATAAAAGGTCCCCTGGAGGAGGAAATGGCAACCCACTTCACTATTCTTGCCTGAAAAAAATCCATGAACAGAGGATCCTGGCAGGCTGCAGTTCAAAGGGTGGCAAAGAATTGGACATAACTGAGTGACTAAAAACACATACGTGTTTAGTCAGACTATTTAAACTTATTCATAGAAACATTGACTACATTATTTTGTTAATATTATATAACATTTTCTGTTAAAGTGATTCATCACTTTGCCTTTCTTGAAGAGTGATGTGTGAAAATCATATTTCCCAGTGGCTTATACTTACATTTTTAAATTATATAAGCATTACGTGCTCATTATAAAACAAATTTGATAAAATAACAATGGAAGTCCCTTAATTTTCCTTACTATTTCCAGAGTATCTTTCCATGTGGCTGTTGGCTATTTATATAGCTTTGAAGAAGTGTCTGTTTCAAATCTTTTGCCCATTTTTAAATTGAGTTGTTGAGTTGTAGGAGTACTTTGTATATTCTAAATACTAACTGCTTATTAGGTAAATAATTTACAAATATTGGGTTTCTCTTGTGGCTCAGCTGGTAAAGAATACACCTGCAATGCTGGTGACCTGGGTTTGATCCCTGGGTTGGAGAGATCCCCTGGAGAAGGCAAAGGCTGCCCACTCCAGTATTCTGGCCTAGAGAATTCCATGGACTGTATAGTCCATGGGATTGCAAAGAGTTGGACATGACTGAGTGATTTTCATTTCACTTTCAAAAATTTTCACCCATTCCTTGGGTTTCCTTTTTGTTCTGTTGGTTGTGTCCTTTGATACACATAAGTTTTAAATTTAAAAATTTATTGGACTATAGTTGCTTTACAATGTTGTGTTTCTGCTGTACAGTGGAATGAATCAGCTATATGTATACATTTTTGTTGTTCAGTTGCTCAGTCGTGTCTGATTCTTTGCCACTCCATGGATTACAGTACACCAGACTTCCCTGTCCTTTACCATCTCCCAGAGCTTGCTCAGGCTCGTGTCCATTGAATCAGTGATGCCATCCAACCATCTCGTCATATGTCATCCTCTTCTCCTCCTGCCTTCAATCTTTCACAGCATCAGGGTCTCTTCTAATGAGTTGGCTCTTCACATCAGGTGGCCAAAGTATTGGAGCTTCAGCTTCCAGTGGATATTCAGGGCTGATTTCCTTTAGGATTGACTGGTTTGATCTCCTTGCAGTCAAAGGGACTCTCAAGAGTCTTCTCCAACATCACAGTTCTAAAGCATCAATTCTTTGGTGATCAACTCTTTTGATCCAGCTCTCACATCCATACATGACTGGATGTGAGAAAAACCTTCCAGACCTTTGACTACTTTGTGGGCAAAGTAATGTCTTTGTTTTTTAATTTGCTGTCTAGGTTTGTCATAACTTTTCTTCCAAGGAGCAAGTGTCTTTTAATTTCATGCCTGCAGTCATATTCTGCAGTGATTTTGGAGCCCAAGAAAATAGTCTGTCACTGTCTCCATTGTTTCCCCAACTGTTTGCCATGAAGTGATGGGACTGGATGCCATGATCTTAGTTTTTTGAATGTTGAAGTTTAAGCCAGCTTTTTCACTCTCTTCTTTCACCTTCATCAAGAGGCTCTTTAGTTCCACCATAAGGATGGTGTCATGTGCATATCTGGGTTATTAATATTTCTCCTGACAGTCTTGATTCCAGCTTGAGCTTCATCTAGCCTGGCATTTCCCATGATGTGTTCTGCATATAAGTTAAGCAGGGTGACAACATACAGCCTTGATGTACTCCTTTCCCAATTTTGAATCAGTTCCTATTATTCCATGTCCCATTCTAACTGTTACTTCTTGATCTGCATACAGATTTCTCAGGAGGCAGGTAAGGTGGTCTGATATTCCCATCTCTTTAAGAATTTTCCACAGTTTGTTGTGATTCAAACAGACAAAGGCTTTAGCATAGTCAATGAAACAGAAGTAGATGTTTTTCTAGAATTCTCTTGCTCTTTTCTATGATCCAATGTATGTTGGCAATTTGATCTCTGGCTCCTCTGCCTTTTCTAAATCCAGCTTGAACATCTGGAAGTTCTCGGTTCACGTACTGTTGAAGCCTAGCTTGGAGAATTTTGAGCATTAGTTTGCTAGCTTGTGAAATGAGTGCAATTGTGTGGTGATTTGAACAGTCTTTGGCATTGCCTTTCTTTGGGATTGGAATGAAAGCTGACCTTTTCCAGTCCTGTGGCCCCTGCTGAGTTTTCCAAATTTGCTGGCATATTGAGTGCAGCACTTTGAACAGCATCATCTTTTAGGATTTGAAATAGCTCAGCTGGAATTCCATCACCTCTACTAGCTTTGTTTGCAGTACTTCTACCTAAAGCCCACTTGACTTCTTAAGCAAAACCCATTTGAAGAAAGGCAGATTCCAAAGCAAATACATAGTTTCATTAACATATCTTAAGAAAAACATTTCCAGAAGAAAAACGCATTGGTTCGCGGAGCCATTAGCAGCTCAAAGTTCAGTTCAGGTGTAACGGAGTGTCCCAACAACACAGGATTAGAAGAGAGAGAGAAAAACGTGTCTGCCGCTTGCAGTTTGTTTCCTCCTGCCCCTTAGGGATCCCTAGCCTTCCTACCTGACTGTCATTCCTAGCCCCTCTTTTTTGGACTTCCTTCCGTTTAGGTCACCACAGAGCACTGAGTATAGAGTTCCCTGTGCTGTACAGTAGGTTCTCATCAGTTATCTACTTTATGCATAGTACCAATAGTATGTGTATATCAATCTCAGGTTCCCAATTCATCCCACCTCTTTCTCCCCCTTGGTGTCCATATGTTCTCTACATCTGTGTCTCTTATTTCTGCTTTGCAAATAAGAGTTCTTATGTACCATATGTACCATTTTTCTAGATTCCATATATATGCATTAACATGCAATATTTGTTTTTCTGACTTACTTTGTAGTTCAGTTTATCTTTTTACTTTTGTTATTGTACTTTTGGTGTTTTATCCAAAAATCACTGCCAAACCCAATGTCATGAAGTTTTCCCTCTATCTTTTCTTCTAAGGGTTTTATAGTTTTGGGTCTTACATTTAGCTCTTTGATCCATTTTTGGTTAATTTTATCTATGGTATAATGTAAACAGTCCAACCTTATTCGTTTGCATGTAAATGTCCAGTTATCCTAATACCATTTGTTGAAAATGCAGTCCTTTCCCTATTGAATGATCCTGGCACTCTTTTCAAAAAATACCTGACCATATATGTGGGAGTTTCCCCCCCTGGACTCTCTTCTGTTCCATTGGTCTATATGTCTCTTTATGTCAGTACCACACTGTTTTAATTACTGTAGCTTTGTCATAAATATTGAAATCAGGAAGCTTGACACCTTCTATATTCCTTTTAAAGATTGTTTTGCTTATACAGAGTCTCTTGAGATTCCATAAGAATTTTAGAATGGAATTTTCTAATTCTTGAAACAAATGCCATTGGAATTTTTGTAGTGGTTGCATTAAATCTGAAGATTGCTTGGAGTAGTATTGATGTCTTAATAATACTTTATTTTCCAGTCCATGAACATAGGATGTCTGTTTATTTATTTCTTCTTTATTTCAGCAGTTTTGTAGTTTTCATTGCTAAGTTTTTCACCTCTCTAAATGTTTTAAAGGTAATTTTTATTTTAAAGGTATTTTTTAATCTTTATAACAACCTTAGGAGGTAGGTACTGTTATCATCTCCATTTATAGATGAAAATACTGAAGCATATATGTTAAAGAGCTTGCTCATGGTCAAATGCCTAGGAGGTGAAAGGGCCAGAATTCACTTCCATTTTCTAAACTTACAGACACTGTGCTCATTTATTATGCCTGGGCCATATGCCCACTTGTGAAGTAACTGCTGAGTCCAGAAGGAAGGATGAAACAACTGGTTGGGTCTGGGTGTATGGTTACTTACCTACCCCTAAGTTGGAGGGCCAGTGTTAATTATAATATACCAAGCCCACATGAAGTGGTTTCCCAGAGGTGCCTACCTTTCATTTTTGGCCATAAGGATTCATACTAAAAACAGCTTCAACCAATTCAGAAATTAGGCATAAGGGTTAAATATAATAAAATCCTTTGGAAGGATTTCATACGTTTTCGTTTGTTTTAAAGCTGTTATCTGAAGTCGGAAAAAAAACAATTCTGAAAAACTTAACAATTACATGAAGGCAAAACAATTAATACTTTTTGCTGCATTCTGTTGTTTACCTTAACTTCTGGTGTCTTTAGGTACATTCAGTTCAGTTCAGTTCAGTTGCTCAGTCATGTCTTGACTCTTTGCAACCCCATGGACTGCAGCACGTCAGGCCTCCCTGTCCATCACCAACTCCCGGAGTTTACTCAAATTCATGTCCATTGATCGGTGGTGCCATCCAATCATCTCATCCTCTGTCGTCCCCTTCTCCTTCTGCCTTCAATCTTTACCAGCATCAGGATCTTTTCAAATGAGTCAGCTCTTTGCATCAGGTGGCCAAAGTATAGGCACATTAAAAGACTTTTTTTCTTTTTGGCCAAGCCTTGCAGCTTGCAGGATCTCAGTTCCCTGACCAGGGATTTAGAGATTGAACCCAAGCCATGGCAGTGAAAGTCCAAAATCCTAACCACTAGGCCACCAAAGAACTCCTGTAAAGAATTATTATTTTTATATCACTTTTTCTACTAAAAATGTAGCACTTCTTTGCAGATTCTTTACCATCTGAGCTATAGGGAAGTCTGATTATAAAATAACCACATAAAATTTTTTCTTTTTCTCTTAAAATTGAAATGGGAACATTTTATTCAGATCTTTCATGTATTTTAGGATTTGGCTGATGAGCTTGCCCTTGTTGATGTTGTATCAGACAAACTGAAGGGAGAAACAATGGATCTTCAGCATGGCAGTCTTTTCTTTAATACTTCAAAGATTGTCTCTGGAAAAGGTTAGTTTTATAAAATTATTTTCAAAACTTAAAAAAAAATAGTGAAGTCTATCAAATTGTTGTCAATAAGTATAAAATTTAAAATAGCCCCTTTGTAATTAGGACATATAATTTAGAAGGTTAATTTTTAAAAAAAGAACATTCCATTCTGATTGGAGAATATTTGATAAATATAAAAACAGTATTAAATTTTTTGACTCTCTCTTGTTAATGGTTTTGTGTATGTCTTTACTTTTTTCTATTCATTTGTTTTTTTACACAACTGACATTGTATTATATAAATGCTTTTTAAACTTGTCATTCAGTTGTATATATTTTCCCAAAGATATGCAGTCTTAAATAGTTTTTGTGATATTATTGATACATTTATCTATATTCTTGTTTTTTTAGATGTGTGTATCTATATGTTTTAACTTGTTTTTTAGACAACCAGGTTTCAGGGTATAGTTTGAAGCTGTAGAAGAGGAAATGGAGAGCTTAGCCCCATCAGCATTAGCGTTATGTTTTGGCCAACTAAGAATGCTTAGAGAATTAGGAAAAATAATTATTTTATCATAAAGTATTATATATAGTGTGCTTTTTGGTAATGTGATTCAACAGATGTACTTGTTACTAGAAGCCCTCTTGTCTAACATAATTGGAACTGAAAATAGTTACTTACTTTTAAAGTACCTGTTAGAATCATCATAAAATTTTATATTGGCCTGAAACATGTAAAATGTACAAGAACTTCATTTGCTAATTTTCTGATTGGAGGGTAAGACCTTTCAGCATGGCTCAACTGATTGGAGTTTTTGCAGTATTTTTTTTTTTAATAGCAAACCAGTAATAATCATTTCTATTTCTTTAAAGTACCATAATTAAGATACTCATGAAGCAGTCTAATCACAAAACGCTAATAAATTTTTATGGTTTTTCTTCATTTTTATTTCTCTTATAACTAAAAGGAAGATTTTTAAAGATTTTTATTTTAACATGTCTTTCTAAAGCATTCAACTTAATTTTCATAGTAACAGTCATTAAAAAATTAACTGTGAAATACCTGAGATGTAAAAAAGAGCTAGAGCTTAAGTATAACAAACATCAATGTAGCCAGCACATAGCAAAAGAAGTAAAACATTACCAATTCACTTGACACATTGTGTGTGTTAAATCTATTCACATCTCAATCCTGAATGTCATGTTTACTATGTATTTCTTTCACCCTCATATTTTAGTGGTTTACGACGTATTATGTAATTAATATATCTGGCATAAATATGTTTGGGTAGAAACATGACAAATTCTTGATATGCAGCAACTCACAAGCACAGAAGTATACAGACATACATATTAGAAGTCTACTATTAATAGTTGAGAGTGTTCAGTGTACCTTGGGTATCAGTATGTTTTACATCAGTTAATCTATTGAATTTGTTGAGCAGAGTCAAGTTAAAAAGCTACTCCTGTATTAAAATACTTTTAAAAATCATTCAGCTTTTAATTTCTAGTAATATGGCAGGATAAGTACCTGAATCAATCCCTTTGCTATAAATAACAAAACTTCTGCAAAAAATATGAAAGAGTAAATATCAATACTTAAAGAATTGATATGCTCTTAATAAAATTAAGACATTTTCAGAACAGGTGCTGAATGAAGACAGGAAATTATAGAGTTAAACAGCACTGTTGCTAGTTTTCACTAGCTAGCATTAGCCAAACCTAGTGAACTTGAATTTTGGTTTTCCCTGCCTCACAGGACTTAGCAGACTGGAGACAGCCTAATTTGAGAGGTGCGTAGGAAATAACCCCATAAAGCAGACCCCAATGGACTACACCAGGGATCAGTAAACTTTTTTCTGTAAAGGGTCACATAGTATTTCAGGCTTTGTGAGCAACATAGTCTCTGTCAAAACTTGCAACCCTCCTGTTGTATTAAAGCATCCATTGACAATACATAAGCATGTGGGTGTGGCTATGTTCCAAAGAGACTTTATTTACAAAAACAGGTAGTAGAACAGATTTGACTTGCTGGCCTTAATTTGCCAATTTCCTAATGTAAGAATGACCTAGAAATAATTCCCTTCTCCCTATCTCTGGGAACTGCAAGTAAAATTGACTGTCTCAGAAAAGCTTTAGTAAAAGAGGGAAATGGCTGCTAAGGATTTGGAGCCACAAGTTGGCCCTTAATTAAATTCCAATAAAAGCTTAGCAATCTTAAGATAGTCTCTGGAGGAAATACATTTTATTTAAGACCTCAAAGAACTTCCCCAAATAAAGTTTCATGAAAGGTAAACATGTCACAGTATGAATAATTAAATCTACAAGAAAAAATGAGCAAGAACCGACAGAGGCCACAGTAGGTTTCTGATAAAGAAGTTATAAAACAAATTATAATTTAACTGTGATTATTTAAAGAATAAAGCACAAGCTTGAAAATATCAGTATAAGATAGAAAACTGTAAGAAAAAGAACAGATTTTTAGAAATAACCAAATATTAATATAACTTCTGAATATGAAATGGAATGAAACAAAAAATTAATAGATTTGATAATACAGCAGACATATTTGAAGAAACAAGTGGTGAATCTAAGGCAATTACCCAGAAGATGGCAAGAAGTAGAAAATATGACAGGTTAAGAATCATGGAGGATAGAGTGAGACAGTGTAAAATACTTCTACTTAGAAGAGTGAATGAGGCAGAGAAAATACTTGAAAAGATTTTGATTCAGCATTTTGGAGAACATGGATTCAACCCAAATAATCTCAAGACGGATAAATAAAAATCCCCATCTAGACACAGTCTTGTGAAATTAGAAAACTTTAAAAACAAAGAGAATTTTAAAATGATCAGAAAACAAATTACCTACAGAAAAGGGAGGGGGAGGCAGACTGACTTATCAATAGTAGTGGTGAAAGCTGAAAACAGTGGAATGATATCTTTAATGTGTGCCCGGACTTAGTTGCCCCAGGCATATGGGGTTTTAGTTCCCACACCAGGGATGGAACCTGACTCTTCTGCATGGGACTGCGGATTCTTTTTTTTTTTAAACCCTTTTGTGGAGGTCTGACGTTCAGTAGATTGCTGTAAGGGAGCCATTCTGTTACGTATGAAACCCAGACCCAGAAGCAGGTCTTCTAGGAATGGTTTAGCACCAGGTTCCCAGGAACCATGCCATGCCTGTCAGGGGAGGGGGCAACCTCCTTTCTGGGCTGTACGCCGAGTTCCAGGACGAAGCACTCTCTGCACCGGACTCTGGTCCCTATGTGGTGGGTGCACAGCCCCAAGGGATGTGGATGGCAGCCCAAGGAATGCAGATTCTTGACCAGTAGACCACCAAGGAAGCCCTATAATACTTTTTTAAAAGTCCACTGTGGGATACTGAACATCATGTTGTTGGGCTTAATAAGTGAAATACTTTACAACTGGTCATCAAATTTAGAAGGTTAATTTTCTTATGTGAATGAAGAACATTTTTATGATCTTAAGCATAGCCCCTCACAATAATTGTAATACATTCTCACTCTTCAAATCCTCAAACACACATAAATTCTCAGAATTCTAAGCTTTTGATTCATATGGTATTTCTAAGAATCCAGAGAGTTGAGTTGCATTGCCTCAGGCTTTAATAAAAAATGGAAATGTGGGCTAAAAGGGATAGTAGGTTCTATTATTTTACTTTTTTAAATCGGTGTGAACATTGGTAAATCATTAGTGACAAGATTTCCTTCAGGTTATACTAGGTAACACTGTTGTTCAGTCGCTCAGTTGTGACCCACTCTTTGCAACCTCATGGACACCATGAGCAGGCTCAAGCATGCCAGGCTTCCCTGTTCTTCACCATTTCTCTGAGTTTACTCAAACCCATGTCCATTGAGTCAGTGATGCCATCCAGCTGTCTCATCCTCTGTCACCCTCTTCTCCTCCTGCCTTCAATTTTTCTGAGCATCAGGGTCTCTTCCAATGAGTCAGCTCTTAATATCAGGTGACCAGTGTATTGGAGCTTCAGCTTCAGCATCAGTCCTTCCAATGAATATTCAGGGTTGATTTCCTCTAGGATTGACTCCTTTGATCTCCTTGCTTTCAAAAGGACTGTCAAGAGTCTACTCCAACACCACAGTTCTAAAGCATCAATTCGTCAAGATTCAGCCTTCATGGTCCAACTTTGTTGGCAAAGTGATGTGTCTGCTTTTTAATACACTGTCTTGGTTTGTCATAACTTTTCTTCCACGGAGCAAGTGTCTTTTTTTTTTTTTAGTTCTACCACTTTATTGCTACCAACCCATCTCCCTCCACCCTCGTGCACACATGCTCAGTCATGTAACCCCATGGACTTCAGCCCGCCAGACTCCTCTGTCCACGGACTTTTCCAGGCAAGAATACTGGGATGGGTTGCCATTCCTTCTCCACGGAGCAAGCGTCTTTTAATTTCATGGCTTCCCTGGTGGCTCAAACAGTAAAGAATCCGCCTACAATTCAAGATACACAGGTTTGATCCCTGGGTCAGAAAGATCTCCTGGAGAAGGGAATGGCTACCATCTCTAGTATTCTTGCCTGGAGGATTCCATGAACAAAGGAGCCTGGCAGGCTATAGTCCAGAGGATCCCAAAAAGTCAGACATGACTAAGATAACATTACTGTGTGGAAAATCTGTTCATTTGCAAGTGCAAGCCATGATAGTAATGGAGTACTTTAATACTATCACCATACAATAGACTTTTAAAGAATTAAAGCACAGAGATCATGGCAGTCTTGATCCAAATATTTTCTTTTGTNGTCACCATCTGCAGTGATTTTGGAGCCCCAAAAAATAAGGTCTCTCGCTGATTCCATTGTTTCCCCATCTATTTGCATGAAGTGATGGGACTGGATGCCTTGATCTTAGTTTTCTGAATGTTGAGTTTTAAGCCAACTTTTTCACTCTCCTCCTTCATTTTCATCAAGAGGCTCTTTAGTTCTTCCTTTCCTGCCTTAAGGGTGGTGTCATCTGCGTATCTGAGGTTATTGATATTTCTCCTGGCAATCTTGATTCCAGCTTGTGCTTCATCTAACCCGGCATTTCGCATGATATACTCTGCATGTAAGTTAAATAAGCAGGGTGACAATATACAGCCTTGACGTACTCCTTTCCCAATTTGAAACCCGTCTGTTGTTCCATATCCAGTTCTAACTGTTGCTTCTTGACCTGCATACAGATTTCTCAGGAGGCAGGTCAGGTAGTCTGATATTCCCATCTCTTTAATAATTTTCCAGAGTTTGTTGTGATCCACATAGTTAAAAGGCTTTGGCATAGTCAATAAATCAAAAGTAGATGTTTTTCTGGAACTCTTGATTTTTCAACAATCCAGCGGATGTTGGCAGTTTGATCCCTGGTTCCTCTGCCTTTTCTAAATCCAACTTGAACATCTGGAAGTTCACAGTTCACATACTGTTGAAACCTGGCTTGGAGAATTTTGAGTATTTTGTTAGCGTGTGAGATGAGTGCAATTGTGCAGTAGTATGAACATTCTTTGGCATTGCCTTTCTTTGAGATTGGAATGAAAACTGACCTTTCCACACCATTTCTTTTTTTTTTCTTTTTAAAACAATATCGCTTAGCAAATTTATAACGATAAACCACACCAATCCAAGTACACAATACTTTTTTTTTCTCAGCATTATTGATATATAATTGATGTGTAAGTTTTATGCATTGTTGTTTAGTCAGTAAGTTGTGTCCAACTCTTGTGTGACCTCTTGGACTGTAGCCTGCCAGGCTTCTCTGTCCATGGGATTTCCCAGGTAAGAATAAAGGAGTGGGTTGCTATTTCCTTCTCTAGGGATCAAACCTGTGTCTCCTGCATTGGCAGCTGGACTCTTTTACCACTGAGCCACCAGGGAAGCCTATCATATGTTATTTATCATATTTATGTGTGGAATCTAAAAAAAAAGGTACAGATGAACTTATTTACAAAACAGGTAGAGTCACGGATGTGAAGAAAACAAACTTATGGTTTACCAGAGTAGGGGGAGGGAAGGATAAATTGGGAGATTGGCATTTACGTATACACACTACTACACATAAAATAGGCAACTAATAAGCACTAATGTATAGCACAGGGAGCTCTAATCAATACTCCATAATGGCCTATATAGGAAAAGAATCTAAAAAAGAGTGGATATATGTACATATATATGTTGTTTTGTGACTTTTATGAGTTAATTCTGTCAAGTCTGTATTCTTTATTATACGTGGACACAGAAGTCTGTGTTTCATCCGTTCAGTAATCTACCAAGAGTGGATATATGTATAACTGACTCACTTTGCTGTATACCTGAAACTGACACAGCGTTGTAAATCAGCTATGCTTCAAAAAGGGGCTTCCCAGGTGGTGGAGTAGTAAAGAATCTGCCTGCCAATGTAAGAGACACAGATTCAATCCCTGGGTCAGGAAGATCCCCTAGAGAAGGAAATCGCAACCCACTCCAGTGTTATTGCCTGGAAAATTCCATAGACAGAAGGAACCTGGTGTAGGCTATAGTCCGTGGGGTTGCAAAGAGTTGGATAGGACTGACCACACACAGAATACTCTAATAAAAATTGAAAAAATATTTTAATTCAAGAGAGAATAAAAAGACACAGTAAAGTGAAAATAAAAAGGTGGAAAAAGATACCACATACAAACAGGAGCTAAAAGAGAGCTGGAGTTACTATACTGATATCACAGAAATTAGACTTTAATATAAAAATTATTGTTGCAGACAAGAATATTATATAATGATAAAAGGCTAATAGATGCAGATAAGGCAGTAAACAAAATTCCACACTGAATTATGATTTTAAAAAATAATTTACTAACCCATGAATGCAAGGAATTTTCTTCAACCTCATAAAAAAAAATTTATGAAAAAACCCCAGCTAGCCTTATACTTGATGGTACTAGACTGAATGATTTTACTTCTGAGACCAGGAATGAGGCAGTGAGACTTGCTTTTGCCACTTCTGTTTAGCATCATGCTAGAAATTCTAGCCAGAGTAACTGGATAGAGATTTATCAGATATTTTAAATGAACTACTTTAACTATGTTTAAAGAACTAAAACAAAACATGTCTAAAGAACTAAAGGAAATAATGAGGTTGATCTCTCACCAAATGGTGAATATTACTAAATAAATAAATGCTATTTTTTTAAAAAGAATAGAAATTCTGAAGTTAAAAAGTTAAATGAATATTAACTAGAGGGACTCAATAGCAGAGTGAGAAGGCAGAAGGAAGAATCAGTGGACTTGAAGACAGGGTAGTTGTTTAATGCCTGGGCTTTCTCAGGGACAGTCTCTGTTGATGTTTTTTCCTCTTTCTATGATATGTATTTCCTTATTTTGTTTCATGCCTCATAATTTGTTGAAACAAACATTTAAAAAGCACAGTAGAAAAACTCTGTGAATGAAATTCTTTCTTCTCGGCGTTTGCTTTGCATCAGCTTGTTGTAGTTTGTGACTTTTATGAGTTAATTCTGTCAAGTCTGTATTTTTATTATATGTGGACACAGAGGTCTATGTTCTATCTGTTCAGTGATCCGCCACTGATTGGACAAAACTTTCCTTAAATGCTTGGAACCAAAAGATACCTCCCAGTCTTTGCTGCAGTGCTCTGTGTACAAGTTGGGGCATGCCTTCAACACTCAGCCAGGCAGTTTGTAACTGTGCCTTAGCCTTTACTTCCTGCTTTCATAGAACCTCATGGTTAGACAGAGCTAAAGTTTACAATCTTATCATGTTTTTCCTGAGCATGCACACACCTGCATACAGTCCTAAGCATGCATGTGGCTTTATTCTAGGTAGGAGACTCTGATAGTTTACATGAGGCGGTGATGATGGAGAGGAAAAAGCTAGGTGATCTTAAAGAGGTATAATTCACCAATCATTAAATATACAGATAAGCACATAGGCTATTTCAAAAAAGAATCTTTCATTTTAAAATTCTGATGGTGATCATTTAATCTTTTAAAACCCATCTGAGAGATTATCTTTTTTCTTTGTTGACTTGCTTCATTTTGAACTCTAATGAATCTATATTTGACTCTAAGACAATTGATCTGTCTATTCAGAATATCAAATTGTAAGAAGTTACTATGAATCTTTCTCTAACAAGAAATTTTTTTTCCTAGTGGATATTTTGACATACGTTGTCTGGAAGTTAAGTGGCTTACCTGCAACTCGTGTAATTGGAAGTGGTTGTAATCTAGACTCTGCCCGTTTCCGTTACCTAATTGGACAGAAGTTAGGTGTACATCCCTCAAGCTGCCATGGTTGGATTATTGGTGAACATGGTGATTCTAGTGGTAAGTATAAACTCATTACCATTATATAATCGCACTTCTTTTCTTTAATAATGCTTCTTTTCCTTAAAGTGTTGGCATTTTACTGTTTGTTTTCCTTAACTTTCAGTCTTTTGTGTCATTGGATTTAGCTACCTCACACAAAATAGTGCATAGAGCATATAGCTATTTTAAAATTCAATGAGTGTGTGTGTGTTTGGTTTTTTTTTTTTTTTTTTTTTGGTCTGGAGCACTTTCATTGTGGTTTTAACGAGAGAATTATTAAGATATAATACACATCCCATAAATTTTACCCATTTAAAGTGTATAATTCATTGGATTTTTATTCACAAAGTTGTGCAACCATCACCACAGTCTAATAGTAGAAAATTTGCATCACCCCCAAGAACTCCAATTCCTGTACTCACCCCCTGCCCTAGCCACAGGCTAGGCTAATCTACTTTGTGACTCTTGAGATTTGTTTTTCCCTGACTTTTCACAGAAATAAAATTTTTAATGTGTGATTTAAACTATTACTTAGGTCATATGTCTTGGCTCTTTTCCTAACTTAAACATTTAATCTCTGCTACACATTTAGATATTTTGGGTTCCTTCATAGCTCAGTCAGTAAAGAATTTGCCTGCAATGCAGGAGACCTGGGTTCAATTCCTGGATCAGGAAAATCCTCTGGAGAAGGAAATGGCAGTCCACTCCAGTATTCTTGCCTGGAAAATCCCATGGACAGAGGAACCTGGTGGGCTACAGTCCATGGGGTTGCAAGAGTCAGACACGGCTTAGTGACTAAACTACCACCACGAAACTACACATTTAGAACCTCATGCTTATAATGCTCTCTAATTCTGTGATGTGTATCAGTCTTCTTTCCGTAATGCCAACTGGTCCATTGAGAATAGGCACCATTTATTCCTTTATTCAATCATCCGTTTGTTCAAAACATTTAATAAATACTTCAATGGTCATAGTATAATAACTATTTTTTATTTGATTTAAACAAATTTTTTTGACCTGTGCCTTAATTTGATTCTGTTGGCTTGTATTATTGTCTTAGCTTAAAAGACAACAATCATTAAAAATAATTTTCCCAGATATGTCTTAATTTCTCCCATTTAATATTCCATGATTTTATTTAAAAAAAAAAACTCTGTATGGTTTAATAGTATGATATTAATTTATTGCTCTTTGCCTTCATAATATTTTGTTATTTCTTATAGGTTATTTTCTTTGTAGATTCTGTATTTATATCTTGCTTTAACATGATTCCTTATCACAAATTACACATAAATTCTACTGCATATTTTATGATACTTTATAATTTTAATTTTTACATTTCTCTCTTTTGTCTATTTGAAACTTATTTTTATATATGGTGTAAGGTAAGTAACCTAACTTTATTCTTTAAAACCCCACTGAACTTACCATATATGTATGGCAAGTTAATAAAATATGATAAAGCCAACACCTGGGTAAAAAGAAATCCACTGCATTTAAACAACTGAAGTATTGGGAAGAAAAGTTCATTCTGAGATTTATTTCTTTTAGTGCCTTTATGGAGTGGAGTAAATGTTGCTGGTGTTTCTCTGAAGAGTCTAGATCCTAACATAGGAACTGATTCAGACAAGGACCACTGGAAAAATATTCATAAGGAAGTTGTTGGAAGGTAACATTAGTTATTCACTTTCTTAGTACCTTAATAATCAGTTGTAACAACGTATTTTACAGAGAAAAAGTATAAAAGTTGATTTTTGCTTTTTGTGAGGTAAATAACATTCTGAAAATTCCCAAAGTTGGATTCACATAATGCATAGCTTTCTTTTGGGGGAATTTTTCAAACAGAAAAGAACACAGTGAGTACTTTCTGTTTCCATGATTTTGACTAAGTATATCATATAGGTGGAATCATTCAGTATTTGTCTCTGTGACTAGTTTATTTTGCTTAGCATAACGTCCTTAAGGTTCATCCATATTATAGTATATGTCAGAGTTTCCTTACATTTTAAGACTGAATAATATTCTGTTGTATGTAAATATACCACATATTGCTTATTCATTCATCTCTTGATGGATTCTTGGTTTGCTTCCATGCTTTAGCTATTGTGAATAATGCTGCTATGAATATCTATATACATATCTCTTTGAGACTCTGTTTTCAGTTCTTTTGGGTAAATACCCATCAGTGAAATTGCTGCTATTGTTATTCAGTTGCCTAGTCGTGTCCGACTCTTTGCAACCCCGTGAACTGCAGCAGGCCAGGCCTCCCTGTCCCTCACCATCTCCTGGAGTTTGCCCAAGTTCATGTCCATTGCATCGGTGAACCATCCAGCCGTCTCATCCTCTGATGTCTTCTTCTCCCTCTGCCCTTTGTTTTGAGGAACCACCCTACTGTTTTCCACAGTGGCTATACCATTTTACATTCCCACCAATACTGTAGAGAAGTTCCAGTTTCTCCACATCCTCACCAACACTTACTTTCTCTTTGACAGTGGCCATCCTAATGGATGTGAGGTGGTAATCTTATTGTAGTTTTGATTTGCATTTCCTTGATTAGTGATGCTGAGCATTTTGTCCTGTGCTATTAGGCCACTGTATATCTTATTTGGAGAAAGTGTCTATTCAAGTCTTTTGCCCAGATTTGAATTGAATTTTTTGTTGGTTGTTGAGTTTTAAGAGTCCTTACTATATTCTGGATATTAATCTCTCATCAGATAATTTACAAATATTTTCTTCCATTCCATAGGTTCTTTTTTTAAACCCTTTTCATATTGTCTTTTGATGTACAAAACTTAGAAATTTTCATAAAGTCCATTTGTCTATTTTTTTCTTTTGTTGCCTTTTGTGTTCTATTCCAAGAAATTATTGCCAGGTGCAATGTTATGAAGTCTTGCCCTGTGTTTTCATGTAAGAGTATCTTAGTTTTAGGTCTTATATTCAGATCTTTGATTCTTTTTTTTTTCTTTCATTTATTTGTATTCGTTGGAGGCTAATTACTTTATAATATTGTAGTGTTTTTTGCCATACATTGACATGAATCAGCCATGGATTTACATGTGTTCCCCATCCCAATCCCCCCTCCCGCCTCCCTCCCCACCCCATCCCTCTGGGTCTCCCCAGTGCACCAGCCCCGAGCACTTNCCTAGGCTGGCGATCTGTTTCGTTTTTGTAAATGGTTTTAGGAAAGGGTCCAATTTTAATCTTTTGCATGTGGATATCCAGTTTCCCCAGAATCGTTGGTTGAAATGACTGCCCTTTTCCCATTCAGTGATGTTGGCACAATTTTTGAAAATCAGTTGAACAGATTTTCAGATATGGAGGTTTACTTCTGAGCTTTCTATTCTATCTCACTGGTCTATATGTTTATCTTGATGCCAGTACCATACAATTTTGATTACTGTAGCTTTATAGTTGGTAAGTTTTGAGGTGAGAAAGTGTGAGTCCTTAAGCTTTCAAGATTGTTTTAGCTATTCCGAATCTCTTGAGATTCCATATGAATTTCAGGGTGAGTTTTTCAACTTCTGCAAAATCTATCCTTAGGAATTTTTGGGAATTTCACTAAATCTGTAGATGGTTTAGGGTAGTATTAGCATCTTAATAATATTAAGTCTCCAATTCATAAACATAGGTTGTGTTTCCATTTATTTATGTTTTATTTAATTTCTTTCATCAGTGTTTTGTGGTTTTCATTGTACAAGTCTTTCACCTCCTTGGTTAATTCTGAAGTACTTTTTTTTTGGTGCTATTGTAAATGGCATTGTTTTACTAATTTCCTTTCAGATTGTTCATTGTCGTTAAATAGGAATGCAGTATTTTAATGTTGACTTTCTACCTGCTACTTTCCTGAATTCACTTATTAGTTAAACGTTTTGTTGTTGTTGTTGTTGTGTGTATGGAATCCTCATGGTTTTCTGCATGTAAGATCATGTCATCTGTAAGTACAGATACTTTTATTGCTTCCTTTCCAAGTTGAATGCCTTTTATTTGTCTTTCTTATCTAATTGCTCTGGTTAGAACTTTCAGTGTTGTGATAAATGGAACTGGAAAAAGTGAGCATCTTTGCCTTATTCTTGATCTTAAAAGCTTTTAGTTTTTCACCATTGGGTATGACCTTCACTATGGGCTTTTCATATATGGCTTTTATATTGTTGAGGTAATTTCTTTCTATTCCTAATTTCTAAGGTGTTTTTATCATGAAAAAGTATTATAAATTTTATCAAATAATTTCTCTGTGTCAGTTGTAATGACAGTGTGGTTTTCCTCTTTTATTCTCTTACTGTGATATATTACCTTGGTGGATTTTGGTATATTGAAACATCTTTGCTTCCTAGGACTGAGTCATGGTATATAATCCATTAAATACTGTTGAATTCAGTTTGCTAGTATTTTGTTAAGGATTTTGCCTCAGTGTTTGTAAGGGATAATGGTCTGTAGTTTTTTCTCCCCCCCGCCCTTTTTAAATTATATTAATTTAAAAAAAATAGTGACTGTCTTTCTTTGGTATCTGTGTAATGTTTAGAATCAGTAATAATGTCTTCACTTTCATTTCTGATTTTAGTAATTTGAGACTTCTCTCTTCTTAATTCATCTAACTAAAAGTTGTCAATTTTGTTGACCTTTTCAAAAAACTGTTGATTTTCTTTCTTTCGTTTTTCCATTTTCTATTTTGTTATTTTCACTCTAATCTGTATCATTTACTTCCATCTGCTAGATTTGGGCTTAATTTCTTCTTCCTTTGCTAGTTCCTTAAGTTGGAATGTTAGATTGTTGATTTGACATCTTTCTTGCTTTTTAATGTAAGCATGTATGGCTGGCTATAAGTTTCCCTTTAGCACTGCTTTCTTTGTCTAATAAGTTTTATCTTATGTTTTCATTTCCATTCATCTCTTAAGTATTTCCTAATTTCTATTGTGATATCTTTTTGATCCATTGGGTTGTTGTAGAATGTGCTTTTTAATTTCTGCAAATTTGTGAATTTTTCAGTTTTACTTGTATTATTGATTTCTAAATTCCCCTTGTTGTGTCAGAGAATATAGTATGATGCCTGTCTTATTAAATCTGTTGAGACTAGTGATTTCCCTAGTGGTCCAGTGTCTAAGACTCCATGCTCCCAATGCTGGGCACTCAGGTTTGATCCCTGACCAGGGAACTAGATCCCTCATGCTGCCACTAAGAGGTCATGTGCTGTAATTAAAGGTCCTGCATGCCACAATGAAGATTGAAGATCCACGTGCCACAACTAAGACCCAGTGCAGCCAAATAAATAAATATTCTTTAAAAATGAAAAGAACTAAATCTATTGAGACATAATCTGTGGCATAACATTTAGTCTACTCTAGAAAATATCCCATGTATACTTGAGGAGAACATAGATGCTGCTGTTGTTGAGTAAAGTGTTCTGCTAGATCTAGTTGGTCTGTTGTGTTGAATTCTCAGTTTCTTTCCTTGCTTTCTGATTGAGAGTGGGGTAATGAAGTCTTCAGTTATTATTGTAGAACTGTCTATTTCTTCCTTCAATATTTTCACTATTTGCTTCATGTATTTTGATGGTCTGCTATTAGATGCATACATGTTTATATAATTGTTTTATTTTCTTGAACCTCTGGTTAGTATATAATGTCATTTGTCTATTGTAAACTCTTTGATTTAAAGTCTGTTTTGTCTGACCTTAGTATAGCCACCGCCCTCTTTTGGTTACTATTTGTATAAAATATCTTTTAATCTATTTGTTTCTTTGGTTTTACTTACTTCTAAGTAAGTTTCATGTGATAGCTTGTACTTGGTTCATGTGTTTTTATCCATTCTGTCAATCTCTTTTTGCTTGGAGAGTTTAATTCATTTACATTTAAAGCAGTTACTGATAAGGAGTGGCTTCTGTCATTATGCTGTTTGTTTTCTATATGCCTTAGAGCTTTTTGTTCCTCATTTCCTATATTACTGTTTTGTGTTTATTTTTCATAGTGGAATATTTAAATTTCTTTCTTATTTTCTTTTGTATATATCCTACAGCTATTTATTATAGCTGTTTTTATTCTGGTTGCCATGGGGGAGTACCTTTAGCACCCTAAAGTTATAATACTTTTAGTTGAATTTCTACCAGCTTAACTTCAGTAATGTACAAAACCTCTGCTTCTTCATAGTTCCATCCTCACCCCTTTTGATTGTTAATGTCATAAAATTGCATCTTTATACACTGTTTGACCCCAAATAATTAATAATTATTAATAATAATTAATTAATAATTCATTAATTATTCTTTTAAATGCAGTTTCTTAAATTTGAAAATGAGAGTTGCATACCAAAGTCACAGTAATACTACCTTTTTGACCAGTTGTTCTTTTAAATGTATTAGTCTCTAAAATTATGCAGAAAACAAAAAGTGGAAGTAGAAACTATTGTTACCATATTACTAGCTTTTATAAACATCCATGCATTTACCTTTATTGAGATCTTTATTTTTTCACATGACTTAAAGTTACTGTTTATTTCACCCTGCAAGGACTGCCTTGAGTAATTCTTGCAGGGCAGGTTTAGTGGCAATGATCTCTCTTAGCTTTTGTTTCTTTCACAATATCTTAATTTTTCCCTCACTTTTAAAAAATAGTTTTGCCAGATAAAAGATTCTCGGTTGACATTTGTTTTCTTTTTTATCAGTTTAAATATATCTACCCACTACTTTCTGGCTTCCAAAGTTTCTGGTGAGAAATCAGCTGATGATCTTTATTTTTCACTTTTCCTCAATCTTTTTTCTTTCTGTGTCTCAGGCTGTTGTTTGCATTGTCCTATCTTTACGTTTGCTGATTCTGTCTTCTGCCTGCTCAAATCTGTTGTTTAATCCATCTAGTGATTTCTTTTTTTCATTTCACTTTTTGTACTTTTCGGCTCTAGGATTTGGGGCCTGGGGGTTATTTTTAGGTTTTATGTTTCTTTATTGATATTTCCATGTTGTTCACTCATCATTTTCTTGACTTTCACTATAGCTTCCTTTAGATTTTTGAGCATCTTTAAGACAGCTGTTTTAAAGTCTTTGTCCAGTATATCTGCCATCAGTGCCCCCCCCCCCAACCAGGGACAGTTTCTGTTGATTCATTTTTTCCTTTGAATGGGCTGTACTTTGATGTATCTTTGTATACCTTGTGATTTTTTTGTTGTTGAAAACCAGATGTTTGAATCTAATAATGTGGCAACTTTAGAAATCAGAATGTATCTAGTCCCCAGGGTTTACTGAGTTTTTGTTCTTGTTGTTGTTGCTTTTGTTTTTTGATTGTTGAAAGCTGTTTCTGTGCCAAGGACCAGCCTGAGTTGTAATCTTATGGTCTTTGATGTTGTTTCTAAGCCTGTGCACATAGGTGGTTACTTTCTAATCTCCTCAAAATATGCAATTGCTTTTGTATATTCTGGTCTTCAGTGTCTGGCTCCCAATGGGAAAAAAGAAATATTAAGGGAAGAGGAAAAGGGTACTTACTTGCTCTTTACATTCCCTAGAGGCCACCTTAGTCAAAAGGGGAGAAGCTTGCAACAGTTGTGGGGAAATGAAACAGTAATGGCTTTGCCTTCTTTGTTTCCACCTCTGTTATCAGAAGCAGTAATCATTCATTAGAAAACATATCTCTGATATTTGAAGAAAAGAGTTCTTTTCACAGGCTGTGCACAAGTTGCTTTGGGTACATGTGAACAGCTGCTACTGTGCTAAGAGCTGAAATTAACCACAATTTAATATACAAGCCTTCCCTTGATAGTTTCAAGCTTGCAGAAGACTCCAGAGTTTCCCCAAAAGTTATATCAGACAGAGTCTGGCATTGCATTTATTGTCTATGTGGAGAGATAGATTCCTGGTGCTTCCTACTCTCCATCTTCCTAGAACCCTCCAGTACTTGAAGGTGGAAGTTGCTCAGTCGTGTCCAACTCTTTGTGACCCTGTGGACTGTAGCCCTCCTGGCTCCTCTGTCCATGGAATTCTCCAGGCAAGAATACTGGAGTAGGTAGTCATTCCCTTCTCCAGGGTATCTTCCCAACCCAGGGATCAAACCCAGGTCTCCCACACTGCAGGCAGAATCTTTAATATCTGAGCCACCTAGGTTTTTAAACTTAGACAACTGTTTTGTGAAAAAGCATACTCAAAAGTCATCTTTCCAGATACTCCTACCTTTTTGGAAAAGATTCATACCTACAGTTAACCCTTTACCTTGATAGCTTGTCATGACCTAGGTGGTTATCTTTGTGTTATATATTGCTCATAATTCTTATGACAAACATGTCCTAATATTTTATACATAGAAAAAAATAAGCTTTGTATACCTGTAATCACCAGAATGTATAAGAGCAAATATGTAACCAAAATCCCTCACCAGATGTTTTTATAATTCTTAATTAATTGGACTATCTTATTTTTCCCTTTTGTTTACCATCATTTGTACCTTATTAAAGTTTTGATAGCTGCATTTAATTGTGTGTTCAGTTTCTCTGAACCAACCTTATTTCCTCTTCTGGTCAAACTATTCCCACATCAATTGGAAATTTCAGGTTAATATCCCAAAATATCTTTTCTCTGATGGTAATTAGTGGTATGTTTCATTTTCTTAAATTTTCTTAAGAGGACCTACAAACATTTGTTATACCATATAGATAAGAGATTTGGATAAGAGATTAAATTAATGCCTACCAAATTAAACCTATGTTAATATTAACAGAATCATTTCACATTATTCTCAGCAAAAATGTCCGTTTCCCCCATCTATTATATATTTCCCATTATAGGGGCTATTGGGAGCTGTTTCCCAGTAAATGCAGGAATCTATCTGATCTGGCAGGACAATTATAACCCAGATACTAAGGAAGGTGTCTTAGCCAAGATTGGTTTCCAGATGTCATGGAGTAGCCGGTCTTTATAGGGATGTCACGTTGTTGGACTTTTGTCTGTCCAGTCCCTGATAATTGTACTACAGGGACTGTTAGTTTCTTTTTCATTTGAAACACTGTTGGTCTAAGGGAATAGTGATTAAGATCACATTTTCCACTGTGTGAAGTCCTGTGTGATTTGAATACCAAATACTGCAACACATTACAGATCAGTACTCATTCCAGTTAGTCCTTAACAATGCAGTGTCCAAAATTAAATTATTTACCACTTTTTCATTTAGCAGAGGATCTATAGTTATAAAGACTCCTCAGGATACTGCTAGTACTTTCCTTAAAAACAACTCAACTCTTAATAGCCTCTAATTTTTCAGTGCCTAACTAACAGTTGCAGGGAAGTGACATGATTCAATAGGATGTCCTTCCAGTTTCTGAATGGAGCATTTACTTTACAATGTGGGTCAGTTTTTGTCTTAAAATACCTGCCTTAAAACGGCTTTTTCTTGATTCTCCCTTTTATATCAGCAGTTTTAATTTCATTAGGATGGTTAACAACAACTAAAGGATTATGTTCTTAGCCATTTTCTTCTCAACCCTCTTCTCCAGATTCCACTATTAAGATTTGTTCTCAGTTACCTAATGCATAGGTTTCTTCAACTCTAAACACCACCAGTCAGTCAGTCACTAGCCTAAACTTCCTTTCTTTTTTTTTTTTACTTACCCCACAGAGTCTTGGTTATATTGAGAGTCTGAAAGTTAATCTTAATTTTGATACCAATCTTCATGGCCTCTAATAGTGCCCTGGTTTTGGATTGATAGTCAAATCACAGGACAGCACAATGAGTATAGTCCATGTTGAGCTGATCCATTTGCTACTGAGTGTGTTGTGTGCAGTCCTGGAGCCTTGAAACTGTGCCTAGGTGGTTGCAAGAACCCCTGATACAAATAATGATGCTGGACATTCTGCGTTTCTTGTCCTGGATCCTTTTCTCAAAAATATATAAAATCCGAGCTAAGTTAAAACTTCTTTGTCCTTTAAGTTTTACTGTCAGTCCAAACTCAAGATTGCTATTGGTGGCAATGCAAAAATAAAATACATATTATTACAGAAAATAAGAAAATTCATAAGCATAAAGAAGAGGTCACCTGTAAGCCTGTTACTCAAAAATAGTCACATAAGAATTTGCTAGATTGATATAATTCTAAAGTTCCTATAAAAATAAATTATGTTTTTTACAAGCCTGAGATAAGAAATTATATAATATTTAGGATTATGCTATTTTCCTTTGAAAAAATATCAAAACATTTCCCCATGCTTTAATGTATTATTGATTTAATAATATATCCTTAGGGAAAATATGTAACTTATAATTATATACAGCTTAAACTTACATTGACATCTTAACAATTTTATGTGGTCAGCAAGATATATATGCTAACTTTCAAGGTGATCAGATTCTATGTTTGGATATTTAAGCAAAAATACAAAAATTTGAAGCTAAGTTTCATTTCAAGTGTCATAAATGACCTAGTACTCTACCTTTATGGTAAACAAAAGGTAAATTACTACTTATGGTGAATAATGAAGTTTATGAGAATAACATAGAAATTTTTATTGCCTATTCAGAGATAATTTCAAGAAGAGATCTCTAAGAAAATTTTAAGAGTGTTATTGACATGTAGGTTGCTTTAGAATGGATACTTGAAAAATATGTTCTCTCTGAATCAATTCTCATGAATTTGATTTTCTTATTTCCACAACTGTAGTGCCTATGAGATTATCAAGCTGAAGGGGTATACCTCTTGGGGTATTGGACTGTCTGTGACAGATCTGGTAAAATCAATTTTGAAAAATCTTAGGAGAGTGCATCCAGTTTCCACTATGGTGAAGGTAGGCTTAAATAGAATCTTCACATCATTCTTTTAATAACGCTGAGTCCTTACTATGTGCCAGGCATTACACAAAATGTTGAGAATATATTGGTGAACAAAATAGAGACTCTGACCTTACAGAGTTTAATGAAAGATAGCAACTTAATAAAACAGTTACAAAAGCAAATAATAACACATTTTATTAAGTGCCATGATGACAAGCTACGAAGTTCTAAACTATGAGTTTACAAGAAAAGAATTTAACTGCTCTGGGGAGGGGGCATTCCTGGTACAGGCAGGCAAGATTTTCTAAGGAAGTAAAATGTGACCTAATCTGAATAATGAGTAGGAGTTAATTTGGAAGGCTGGACTAATATTCCAAGCAGAGGGAGGAACACATGTGAAGGGGACCTGAGGTAGATATAAAAAGAGGGCACTTGAGAATCTGGAAGGGAAAAAAGGTCAGTTATTGAAATGCACAGAGCAAAGGGAAAAAAGGGAGGTGTGTGATAAGGCTGGGGGAAGTAGGCAGGGTTGGGCCACTGAAAGTCTTATAAATCTTATTAAAGGGATTTGGGTCCTTACCATAAGAGCTATGGAAAGCCACCAAAGAGCTTAAGAAAGGGACTGGTTTTACAATCTTTGTTTTTGTTGTTAAAAAGATTCCTGGGGTTGTGATGGACAGAATAGATTTGAAGGGGACAAGAGTATAGGTGAGTAAACTTGGGAAAAGGCTGTGTATTACAGAAAAAAGTAGTAGTAGAGATGAAGAGATAGGGACAAATTTGAGATACATTGTATTTAAGAGGTAAAATTCATAGGTCTTGGTAATGGAGTGAGGTTGAAAATGAGGGAGACAAAGGTCATTGTTAGGTTTTTGTTTTGCACAGTTAAACGGTAGTATAATCCACTGAGGGAGGGCATATTCAAAGAGAATCAGATTTGAAGATCATGTTTGCAATTAGGGAGAAATTGAATTTGAGGTGCCTTTGTAATGTCTGAGAGAAAATAGGCAGTTGGGTACAAGCTTCTGGAATTCATAAAAGAGTTTTGGGTTGCAGTTATAAATGTGAGAGCATCATCAGCATGAAAACAGTAAGCCACAGAAGCCAACTCAAACTAGCTTAGGCAAAAGAAGATATTTTGACTCATGTAACTGAAATGCCAAGGAGGCCTGAACCACATGCTCAAATTGTATCATTAGAGCTATTTTTTTCTCTCCACAATCTTTGCTCATCTTTTCACTCTTGTTGGCGTTAATATCCTGTGGACATTTTTCATGGAGCAACAAAGATGGTTCCCATCAGCTGCATGCTTAGAGCCGATAGTATCAGTACCCTGCCTCTCCATTACCCATATTAATTTCTTGATAATTGGCCTTTTTGGGATCACTTGTCCATTCCCATGATACTTGTCAGTCGGGGAGAGGAAGTTACTGAAAGGAAAAAAGAGGTTCTGTCAAAAAAAAGAGAAAGAGATACTTGACAGGCAAAGACAATAGATATCCCTTACACATATTAACTGAAATCATGAATTTCAATGAGCTTGCCTGAGGAGAGAGTATAAAGTGACAAGACAGATTGAGTCTTGAGGAATTTCAGTTTTGAAAGCTGAGTTTTAGTGTGAGTCCACGAGGTGACTAAGTGGTGGCCAGAGTTAAAAGAGAAACCAAGAGAACACAAAATCATGGTAACCGAGTGAAAGGAGGGTGCCTTAAAGATGAAGGATTGGTTTTCTGTTGTTGATTGATGTGAAGTCATGTAAAATGAGGGTTTGAAAATACCAGGAGGATAAAGTGACATATGTCATTGAAAGCCTTAGCAGGAGATGTTTAATAAAGTAATAGGAATGAAAAAGTCTAATTGGAGAACACCAGGGTCATCTTAACTTCAGCAGTATTGACTTTCAGACCAGGTAATTCTTCATTGTTGGGGATGACCTTTGTGTTGTGGTATGTTAGCAGAATCCCTGGCCAGTATATACCAATTTTGACAATCAAAAATGTCTCCAGACATTATCAAATGTCCCTTGAGAGGCAAAATCATTTCCACCTGACAGAACCTCTTAAGTAGCTGGGGAAGTTAAAGCCAGTGTGAAAGTCGTTCAGTCGTGTCCAACTCTTTGCGACCCCATAGACTGTAGCCCGCCAGGCTCCTCTGTCCATGAAATTCTCTAGGCAAGAATACTGGAATGGGTAGCCATTCCTTTCTTCAGGGGATCTTCCTGACCCAGGGACTGAACCCAGATCTCCTGCGCTGCAGGCAGGTTCTTTACCATCTGAGCTACTAGGGAAGCCCAAAAGCCAGTGTAAACAGCTCTTTTGAGGTAAGTGACTGTGAAAATAGAGCAGTAATTGGGGAGGAAAATCAAGGCAAGGCAAGTTTTTTTCTTTTAAAAGGTAAGATGTAAAGAAGATATTGGAGATAGAAATAACAAGCAGAGAGGGTTGGTTAATAAGCAGAGCATTTGTGAAGATATTAGCCCTAGGAAGGAGGAGGGACAGATACTTGTTTTAATAGGGGGTAACAAAGAAAACAGATAGTGAATCATAGATTTGTAAGTTTGGCATTGGAAGCATCTGATGATGTCTATCTTCTTAATGAAAGGAGACAAAATCATCTGCTGAAAGTCAAGGGAGATAGAGAAAAGTCAGATGTTTGAGAAGATTTGAAATTACTGTTGTAGATAATAAAAAATAGAAGTAAACAGAATCAAGGCAGAATTACTGTCAAGTGGACTCATTTGAAATTGATAAGCATTAATTTTAACATGTTAACAACTTTGTTATGTCATTTTCTCTAGGGATCTGAGTGCAGGAATGGAGAAATAGATAGCTGAAGTCATTGGGGTTTGGGTTTTATTTCAGGAGTATTAAAAGAGGGAGAGAGAGGAAGACAGAGGTATAAATAGTTTTGGTTTCTACACATGTTAAAAATGAGTTTAACCTTCTACTAAAGGGTCACAGTCCAATTCAAGACCTTTGCCCTTACATGTTATATACATACAAATGAATAAATTACAAAAGAAAATTATTAATAAAGATTTAAGAAATATTTATAAAAGCTAAAAATTAAAATAGGCAAAGGGTCTTAGAGTATGGCAAAAGGGTTACAGAATGGACCCAAGAAATGAATCTTAAGTTGGAGGAATCTCATAACAAAGTTCAGAGTGGGATACTTGGGGTGGGAAGAGAAGGTCTCGTGAACTAAAGAAAGAATACAAGAAATTGGAAAGAAAGGGAATTGGTTGATTTACCCACATGGACAATGACATCACCAAGGATAAGGGCAGAAGCTGAGAGGGAAGATTATTAGGTGTTAGAGTCTTTTATGAATAACATGGAATACTCAATAGGTTTGGAGATGGTGATTAGAAAGAAAGAGCTAAATAATGAGTCTCAAAAAATAGGGGGAATTTTTTTAAGAGGGCAAGGGATTAATAATTTGGAAGAGACAGTGAGGAGTATTCAGTGGATTTCACATACTGTTCCTGACTAAGCTATTACCTCTAGAGGGTTCCTGAAGAAGAGTTAGGTATCAAATGAAGGCTTCTCAAAAAGAGATTGAGTAATATGGGAATTTCTTAGTCATTACTGAACAAATCAATAGATGAGTTATATTTTGTAGGAAATACTTAAACATTTGACATTAAGAACAGAATCATTTGTATGCTGTTATTCTTTTTTCCCAGTTCATTTTTATTACTTCACATTTTCAGCAAATAAAGTTGGCAATAGAGTTTATTTAATATTACTATATTAACTTGATTTTTTGTCAATAAATAGAGAATTCTCTTTAAATAGCCATTTCCTCATTTCATGGCCAGTCTAGGAGAAAAGGAAGGAAATTTCAGTGCATCCAGGGGTCATATTGCCAGCCAGGCATGACGCTTAAAGGGAAAGAGGGTAGGCTGAGGGGCGGGCAGCAGGTCATGGTCAGCAAGCAGGGATAGGTCACAGTAGGGCCCTTGTTTCCAGTCCATCCAGCAGCCCCTAAGTGGGATGGACGTGCATTTCCGGTTCTAAGAAGCCCCTTCTAGTAGGAAGAGATACAGTGAAAGTAGAGGGAACAAAGTCCTGAATCACTAGCAGGGAAGGAGAGTGGCTTCTGCTCCAGCCACACTAGCCTTGTTCCTGATGCCACTCAACCAACCCCTGCAGCCCATGTTCAAGCTCCAAAAGGCATTGTGCTACACAGAGGTAGCCCCACAAGGACCAAGGACAGGAGAGGGGAGTGGGAGGAGGTAAGTGTCACTGGAGCTGGAATGTGACTGGGAAGGGAATGTGCGCTGATAGTCTGGTGGGTCAGTGGCCTTCCGTGGCCACTTCACCAGAGTGGAAGTGAATGTCAGTAGAGCCTGCGGGAACCCTGCCAGGAGAAGACATGTAACTAGTCTGAGGAAATCATGAGGTTGAGTATCAAGTGGCTACCAAAGTGAGGCAGTTGGACTGCAGTGGAGGCGATGGATAGGAAGTCCTTCTGTGGACCACTGGAATAAAACAGGACACTGAGCTCCTGAGGAGAGCCCCAGAGATGGTGAGAGGGAGACTTGGTTGAGTAGTGCCAGTGGACTGTGAACTATCAGGGGAAGCTGGGAGGCACCACTCCAGAGTCAAGGAGCCTTTCCCTTGCTCTGTGCTAGTTCCTGGCAACTTTACAGTCAGATCTGGAGGAAGAACAAGACTTGCCCATTGCCGCCTCCAACGCCACGTTCAACCCCAAGGGGTGAGGTAGGAAAATGCAATGGGTAGTGGGAGGCAGAGAGGTGTGAGAGATCTACTGAGTCTTCTTATCTTCCAGGGAGGAGGTGGAGGCTGGTGTGTGGTCATGTAGGCATTGTGTGAGTTACCAGGTTGTAGTAGGCTCCGGCAGCTGCCTCTATGGCCTTGGCTTTAGCTCCAGGGTTGGAGCGAACATCAGGGTTGCTGATGGAAGGTTCCATGGCCCCAGGATAGGGTGGTGGCCATGGCTGCACCTATTCCCTGGCCCTGTCCATCATGGAAAGACATGGATAGAAGTCCAGTGCCAGCCAAGAGGGCAGGGGTGCCTTCCGTTAGTGACTGGCAGGGAAATTACATAAACCCTGCTGGGCATGTGAGAGGACCTTGTAACCTTAGGCTCTACCTCTGAAAACTTGAGAAGCCACCTGTTAGCACCTGTTGTCCAAACTTAATGGCATCCCCTGGTGTAGAGATTATGCAGAGCAGAGCCTTTCTAGCTGCTTCCTACTTCACTGTTCTCTTATTTTACACCAAAAAACAAACACAGGCTGCTTGATCTCACAGGCTTCATAGTCCTTCATCAGACTGCATGACATCCTTTCCCTTAGACAGAAATATGACAAAGGTTGGGGTAAGGTAGACAATGCCTTTCTTGGTTCCTTTGAAGTCCTCTGGAATGTTCTTCGTGTCATTAAACACAAGTTCATACATGGTCATTAGACATTAGGATGCTTTTTGTGGTGGTCTCTCCACTGCCCTCAGTGATTCTTCTTGAGTTCCATATTCTCTCTGTATATTCTAATTCTGAAGCTCTCTTGCATAGCAGCTTTTCCATATCATATTACTGAATAATAACCTAATTTTGCCTTTTAGGGCTCATATGGAATAAAAGAAGAAATCTTTCTCAGTATCCCTTGTGTCTTGGGACGAAATGGTGTCTCAGATGTTGTGAAAGTTAACTTGAATTCTGAGGAGGAGGCCCTTTTAAAGAAGAGTGCAAGCACACTTTGGAATGTCCAAAAAGACCTGAGATTTTAAAACTTTTTAATGTTCCATGTTTTTGAGAACAGAAGATAGTAGACTGTATGTTTTATATTTTGAAAGTATTCTCACCTGATCTCTAAAAAATAAAAAGAACATTGGACCTATGACATAACTCCACTCTCTCAAGACTAGAAAAAGGAAATGGTAAAGGAATTTCTCCCCTTTAGGAATCTCTTATAGCTCTATTCTAATAGGCTCAACCTGTACAAATGTAACTTATACTTCCAACTTATGTCATATATGTAAAAGTTGGCTTCGGGTTTATTAGAATATGTATAATAATCCATTTAATACAGACCTTATGATTCTTCTGATAAAACAATGGGATTTCTAGTATTGAAATTTCATCTTGTGCTTTCTTCCATTAGGGCATCAGCCTATTTACTTTATATTGCTTCAGTAACTTCATGCATTTACATATAATCATTACAATTAATATCATTGTATATAAGAAGGAAAATAGAAATAAAACTTTATGGCATAAAAAAATTAAGTATCTTCACTCTGCAAGTATTATACCAATTAATATAAACTCAAATAGTTGATTTGGTCCCACTGTTGAAATACCACACAGGGAGTTTAGACCAGGTTATTAATTTAGCAAACTACTACTCTGCTTGCTGTATTATGGTTATGAGGTCAGTATGACATGATTTCCACCTTCAAGTATCTCACAGTGAGTATTTAGGGTACCTCATCTAACTGCTTGGAGAAGGAAATGGCAGCCCACTCCAGCGTTCTTGCCTGGAGAATCCCATGGATGGAGGAGCCTGGGGGGCTACAGTCTGTGGGTCGCAGAGTCGGACACGACTGAGCGATTAAACCACCACCACCATCTAACTGGTTATTGATGGATGCTTCAAACAGTCAATTGGTAGCTCCTTCTTGGTGTCCAGTGTTAGGAGTACATGTGCTTCATACAAAAATGTATATTTCCTTGATTTCCAAAAAGAATTTAAGGCAGCTATAGGAAATAGACAGTGAAACAAAAACTGATAAATTAGGGCCAAGGTAATTTATAAATTAGACTAGGACAGGGCCAGTGGGAAAACCAGAAAGCATATATACAGGCCCTGAGGACTTACATGGCTCTAGTGGAGGCAAACCCATTTGGTCAGAGAGTTATGGTTCACTCTCTTGTTATTCTTGCTATTTAATAGCTTTCAGTCATCTACTACTGAATATGGTTAGTTTGCCATTATTTTGTTCTCTTTCCTTTTTTTTCCATCTCTTCCCTTGAATGTACAAAATATGGTCATGAGTGAGAGTTTCATTACGATGGGGAGGAGGGGAGTCTGATGTGGCTTTTGTCTTTTTTTAAAGTTCCTCTTATATACCAAATTAAAACTTCATTTTAGGAAAACCTTGCAGAGATCAAAAAGGCTGCAATGTACTTTCTACAGGGAATATTCTAGGGAATAAAATTACTCTACATTGTGTATTCTCAACTGGACCATTATTGTCCCAAGGGGTGTAAATTGGTTCTTGGGTGGGAGGTTGGTGAAAAAAATCTTTGATATTGCAAAGGTTTGAATCGCCAAAGCTCAGTCCTACCAGACAAAAACCTCATTCTGTAATATTTAATTTGATGATGTGGGGACGGGTGAGGGAGCTGAACAATTAGGGATAATGTCTGAAAAAGCTTTTGAAGGAAAGATAATGAAAAAGTTGAGAAACACTGCTCTACATTTTGTAAAAGAATTTGTCAGATGTGTATTATGTTTAGGATTCATAAGTGACTTAGAAAACAGTCAAGTAGAATGTGGTGGGAGAAGTAAGGAATGAGAGGGGGATTTTATTAGATTCTACATTTAAACGGACTTCATAAATAATGAGTTGTAGAAATGGTTATCAGTTGTGTCTATGGTTATCATTTAACACTGCCCTGATCAAAGTCTTAGCTTTGCATCTCATTTAAAAAATCTCTTGCATAGAGGGTTGAAAATTTTTTTCTACTCCACTTCAGCTCATATTTGTGGGTGGTAAAAGGTAGCCCTGAGATTCTCCCACAGCCCTGGTGAAAAATTCCCAGTGAAAAAGTGAAAGTGACAGTGTTAGTCTCTCAGTTGTGACCCTTTGTGACCCCACGGACTGCAGCCCGCCAGGCTCCTCTGTCCATGGGATTCTCCAGGCAAGGATACTGGAGTGGGTAGCCATTCCATTCCCCAGGGGGACTTTCTGAATCAAGAATCAAAAAGCCCTCATCCTATATATTTAGACAGGGTTTGTTAAAAATAAATTTACCTGGGCTCCCCTGTAGATGGATTCTGGGCGAGGAGTAATCTGTCTGATGGCTGAGGCCTTTTAGTTCAGCGTGCCTGCTTCACCCTGTGCGCTTGCCCAGTGAGCCTCTGAAGCCCGCCAGCCAGAAACAGCAACCTGCAGCGGGCGCGCAGGTGACGGGCAGCTGGCGCGCTGCCTCAGAGCTGAGTGTCTCAGCGCCTGCTCCAGTTGTCCTCGGCCCCGTGAGGTGTGCACGGGCTGGGCGCCGCCTCACGCAGCCTCAGTAGCCAGCGGCTGTCTTCCTTAGAGCTTCAGCCAGCTTCCTCCATCTTCCCGGTCCTCTTGCATGGGCAGCCTGAGTTGGGCTGCGGGAGGGAGTCGTGCGCACCTGTGGGAGGCTGTGGGAGTGAATTTCTGTTTCCTGGCGTTGCCTCCGTGTTCCCTGCGGGCTGTTGGTGTGTCTGCCACTCATCTCTGCATCTATCTGAAGGTGGGCCGAGGTACCCTGCCCCTGGACCTTCTGGCCTGGGGCCTGTGGACTCCCCATAGGTGCTGGGCTCCAGCCTGGAGCTAAGAGCTGGGGAGGGCAAATGGGAGGAAGCGCTTTCCCAGTGGTAAGTCTCATTTTTGGTGGAGCAGCCCCTTTTCCTTCCTTCACTCCCTCTTAACTCCTCTTTACTGCACCTTTTCCCTCCTCCTCCACTTGGTTTGTCTTCTGGATCATTCCCTAAGTGTCTGCAGCACCTCCTTCCCCACTAGCGCCCAGGAGTTCTGTATATGGCCCCTCTCACTACAGACCAATTCCAAATCAGAAGAGGCTTTGCAGTTTTTCCTCAGGATGGCCACCATCAAGTGTGAACTTCAGAAGAGGAAGAGCTTCGCTATAGGAAGTGGATTGGTTGCCACGGCCTGTGCAGTCAGCATCTTACTAAAAGTCAGTTGTATACCGTTCTCAAGTCAGTTGCAATTTTTTTCTTAAGAAGAAAAAAATTAAGCTTAGGGGATCATCTATAAGCTAATACGTGATAGTAGAAATTAGCTATGCCAGAGAGCCATTTTAGTATGTTGCCTTTAAAGAGAAAGTCTTTTCACCTGCCTGTGCAGCCTTGCTCCGTGGCTGCTTCCTAGCACAGTCAGCTGCAGCCCCAGGAAAGCAGCTGTTGTTCAAGAGCAGTCAGTTGCTTGCTGCTTCAGCTCTGGATAAGTTTGTCAGGTGCTTGGACACATTCAAGAAGCAGGTAGGTATATGGCATTTTCAGAAGTGGTAAGGTCCTCAAGTGAGTTAATTACATCAGGAAAATAACTCAATTTTTGACAGATATGAACAAACCAGAAGACTCTTCATGCACTTTATTCTTCTAGAATAAAATAAATACATGCCGAAAATTTTCTTTTATCACTTAACAAGCCTAACCTTGACTCAAGCAGTGAAGCCTGTAAACAAAAATAAGTGAAAAATAAAAAACAGTGTCATTTATAGCCTGTCAATCTCTTATTGTCTTCCAGCAAAAATAAACAGCCTGGTGGAGAATTGTTATCCTCACACTTGCAAATGATAGAGGCTGTTTTTGTTAAGGCTGTCGAACACAATTATGACATACAGTCCAAAGAATGAAGTCACCTCCTTATCTTGTTAATTAATTGTTCTCTTTTGAAGATCTATTGTGTTGACTAATTGAACAATAATTCAAGTAGAGTATCCCAGAAAAACCACTTGAGCTCCCTCTTTGGAATCTGGCTGGTGGCTCTGAGATTACCAAAGGCCCTGACTTGCCCTGATTTGTGTCCTCTTTTAGAGGACGTGTTCCTTCCCAGTGGGCTGGAAACAACCTGGGGTTGTATTTTTTTGGCCAGGGCCTTTAGAACAGTAGTGTTCCAATGAAGTACTGGATACTTAACTTATGTAAGAATGAGGTGTTTAAAATATATATATATATATATACATATATATATGTTTCAATGCTATTCTCTCAGATCATCCCACCCTTGCCTTCTCCCATAGAACAGACTTTTGGATTCTGTGGAAGAAGATGAACTGTTATTTTTTGAATGCCTAAGAAAGTCACACCGCTAATGATTAAACTTTGACATGGCATTGACTAAGACACATTCCAGTCTCAGAAATGTTAAGAAACATCTGAGGATTGTTGAAACGTGGCATCCTTACCTACAGGAAATGGGGGAGGTAGAAGGTTAAGTAGACACCTGGGCAAAAGAGGAGGATGACTCGAGGTCTTGGGTTTTGCAAGAGGCGCAGAGGTTGGTTCTAATCTCGCCAACCTCCCCTTAGGAAAGTGNGGGGGGGGGGGGGGCTGCTTTTTCTAGTTCTTATGATGGTATCCTCTGTGTTAGAAACATTTCTATGTGAGAGCATGTTGATATTTCACTTTCAATCATGTAGTAATAGTATGAGGCACCCCTCTGCTTGACCAGGAAACTCAGCTCTCTAGAACAACTGGAGAAACAGGTAGCAGAAAAAGTGTGCAAACTGTCAGTTGACCACTGTGTCCTTTTGACATACCTCCAGTCAACATAGAATTTTTGTTTTGAGCACTTCCTTAGTTTTTGGCATGTAAGATGTCTCAGCTTCTTCATCTCATATATTTCCTGCCTCAATCATAAATCAGCCTTTTTTCAGGGAGCCTGATTGCTTTTCTTAAGAGTATGATATTATAATCTGAGTGCTAACTGTGCTCATTTCTACACAGAGCATTTTAAAAACTATGTTTCAAAGGTAGTTTTTTCAATTCTGCTCCATGCTACTATAATCTCTGTATTAATTCAAGAGTATCTAGAAAGCACCGGCATCTCATTAAGCAACAACCTTTTCCTTGTGATACAGCTTCAACTTCTAGGCTAGTAAGTTATAGTCTAGTTTAAAGTGCTTGACTTTGAAGTTCCACTAATTAGGATACAGGAAAAAGATCCCAACAGTATAAGTTGGACATGTACTTTAATTATGGATATTTGATCATTTATTTCTAAGAACTAGCTCAAATCATTAGTTTTTTTTTTCAGCACAAATTTTAATGATGTATGTTAAAGATAATATGTAGTTATCTACAACATTATTTTTCAAAAGGTAATACATTCACAAGGTTAAAAAATAAAAC